GATTGTCATGTTACCCTGATACTTTTTCAAAAATTTCGAATTTTTCACTTTCAGTGAAAATTTCAGTGAATAGCTCCTCGATGTTCATGTTACCCTGATACTTTTTCAAAAATTTCGAATTTTTCAATTGCAGTGAATACCTATCTACAGAAAAAATTGGAATTATTTAAAAAAAAAAATGAATGACGGCGGGATCGAACCCGGGCCGTCGGCGTGCTAGCCAAACACGTTACCACTAGGATAACGCACAATTACAGTATAATAATTTCATTAGGAGTATATATATTGCAAAAGTATCGTTTTTAAAAATTGCTAATTTTTCAATTTCACTGGATATCTTCTCGATTTTGAAATATTCAGTTTTTAAACGATATTTCGATTGATTCACAGCCATTAACAAAAAAAAAAATTGAAATTATTTTGAAAAAAAAAAAATTAATGATGCCGGGATTGAACCCGGGCCACCGGCGTGCCAGTCGAGCACGTTGCCACTAGGACAACGCGCTTATTTAAAAATATAAACTCATTAGTGGTATATCTTCAACATATTGAATTATTTTTTTACTTGAAATTCATCAAGATGTGGCTTCCCCCTTCCGCTCGTTCTACAGTCGACTAAATTTGAGTTAAACAAATGAAAAACAAAGAGCATTCATACTGCAGAAAATAAAATTCACCCCGTCGACTTGATGGATACCCCAGCATTGTGTGTGGCGCCCTTCCTCTCTTGGGGTGCTGGAGTGCTTGATAAAAAGCTCAAAAATAATTGATAAAATTTGGGGGTCTAATTGTTGTGAATTTTATTTTTCGTTTTTTGATCTTCAAAGGTAGTTCTGCAGGATTTCTTTTATTTTAAATTGGATATAGACTGGAAATTGATGTATCAAGTAAATGAGGTTAGAAGACTTCTGGTTTGTTGATTAATCTGGAGGATTTTTAGTTGCCCAATCGTTATGGCAGACGATAAAGCGATTAAAAATGTGCAGAGCTCATTTTCTATGTATGGATTCGTCATCACCAGGTGATTATCTGATTAAATTGATAACGGATTTACGTATTTTTTAATTATTAGGTTTTTGTTTAATTAAATTTTTTTGTAAGCCCCTGGGGATGATTTTAATTTCTTTTCCTCGATTGAATTTGTCAGGCCTATCGCTACATTCGTAGTAAAGCAACTGCTGAGTCTTCCTCCAGACCAACGAGACCACTGGCTGACGAGAATAACAGATCAAATCCTGGAGCAGAATCTTTCGGACCCTCACATCGCCCTCGATCACGTAAAACTGGCAATAAAAGAATGCTTAAAACCGAACGCGATCCTCGACGAGTCTGAGACTATTTTTAACGTGTTAAACCTGGAGGAGATCCCCCAGGTCCTCTACGACATCTCCATGAAGAAGTTTGTCCTGCAGAAGGTGATGCCGGATTACTTTCCCGAGCCCATATGCAAGCCCAACGTCTTCAGGAACAGGCTGAGTCTCCTGAGGCAGAGGACATTGCGCCAGGAGCCCTTCGCCCCCAGAAAATTTGGTGAGAAGAGCAAAGAGAAGAAGGAACTCGTACCTGTCGAGTTTTTGCTGACCAACTCGAGGGAGGGAAACGTCTACGTCATGGGGATATTGTCACAACTGGTGGATGGACAGTACTTCCTCGAGGACACTGGAGGTGCTATTAAGATTGACATCGCCAAGACAATATCCTTTTTTCATTCAGTCCGACGATTTTTATTAAAAACCACTCATTAACGGAACGATTACGTCCTCGATGAGAACAAAAAGCCTTTACGAAAGTGAAAAATTTCCAACTTAAACCCAAATTCACGTGATTTTTTTATCGAAAGGGAAAATATTAAAATTGAATAATTATCCACAATAACTCTCTTCAACTTTCAATTTTTTAGTCAATTCCCCTCAAAAATTTATTACCCTTAACAAATAAATCCCCAAGTATTCGACGAAGGTCTGATAACAGAAGGTTGCATAGTGATAGCCCAGGGCTACTTCGAGGACGGCGTCCTGGATGTGAAAAAAATCCAGCTTCCCCCGGTGGAGCCTTCGGCAAACTCCCGAGCATCTTTTGGGACAGAAAACACCTTCGGAGGTACTCACAGGACCTCGCTGAAGTGCTCAGAAAAGCTCCAGCAGCACCAGGAGGCCCACAACACAGACATGATCGTGATAATTTCAGAACTGTGGCTGGACAATTCAGAGATCCTCAGAAAGTTCAAAGTGATCCTCGAGGGCTACTCCGACGTCCCCCCCATTGCCTTTATCCTCTGTGGTCACTTCCTATCGTCTCCTCCCAACGTCACCAGTGGCAAAAAACTCAAAGATGGCTTTAATCACCTGGCAAGACTCATCGACGCCCATCCTGATCTAAAAAAAAATTCAAAATTTGTATTTGTTCCTGGCCCTCAGGACCTGGGGGCCGCCAAAATCCTTCCCAGGGGACCGTTACCTCACAAAATTCTCGAGGATTTCATCAAAAAAATTCCTGGGGCTATCCTAGTCGGCAATCCCTGCAGGATTCAGTACTGCACAAAGGAAATCGTCGTCTTCAGGGAAGACATGATCTCAAAAATGTGCAGAAATACTTTGAAGTATCCGGAACAGGGAAATTTTCATGATCACGTGAGTTTTCTATTTATTCCCAATCATTCGTCGAGCAAAATATTTTTGGAGTGGAAATAATTAACCTGTAATTTTCATAACAACAATTACTTAATGATTTTTCAAATATTTTTAATTTTTCTTTAAAAATTCATGATTAATTCTTGCAAACATTTTTGTTTATGGTATGTAAATCAATCTGCATACACTTTCATAATTAAAAAAAATTTATTCTAGTACGCCAAGACGATGATCTCGCAGTCTCACCTGGCCCCTATGAGTCTCCCAGTGGTTCCAGTCTACTGGAAACACGATCACGTCCTCCAGCTGTTTCCCACTCCCGATCTGATCATCGTAGCTGATAATTCCCAGCAGTACACGACGAGAGTCGATGACTGCCAAGTGATAAATCCCGGATCATTCCCCAGGAATAATTTCTCCTTCAAGGTGTACAGACCAGGTACCGGCGAAGTCGAGGACTGTGAACTCCCAAATGATACCGAGAACATGTGAATTCGTAAAGTCATAATTCATTATTTTTCCCGTACCAATTACGATTAATTCATTAATTATGACGATTAATCAACTTTAATTAATCGTAATAAATAGCGAGTGAACAAAATTGAATTGAATTGAATTGAAAATATCTCATAGTTGTCCCTTCATTATGATAATAACGAGAGACACGCTTAATAATTAGACTTATAATAAATAAATAATGTAAATAATGTTCTCTGTACAGTATTTATTCAATCGCTCGTAATAAAATCTGTTCTATGTTCAGTTTTACAATACTCTGACGAGGAGCACATTCCTCCCATAACTTAAGTAATTAACAACACTATAATAAATTGAATTAATATAATAGCTGATCTCTCACAAATTGAATTAAAAATCCAAGAAAACTTATAATCAATTAATAATTTAAACAATCGTATTAAACTCGATACTGAGATACTCTCAGCATGAAAAATTGTGTCTGAGAGGTGAAGGGGGAAATAAGAGTGCTGAAAAATACAAAACGTATTCGTACAATAATTAATTAGAGGTGAATTTGATTTTTATTTCTCTCATTGGATCAATTTTTTTTTTTACCTCAATGTACAAAATGAGAAGCTCGCATTCCACTCGATTCACGTCAGTCTGTGGCTCTCGATGACTAATCGACAAGTTGTTTAAGTTGATGACTAATCGACAATTTATTTTGGGACCCAAAAAGTGCATTATTTTGCAATTAAACAGAACCAATCCCCACAGAATTAATGAATTCTAATCAGAAAAACATTATCTCCAGTGTTTAATGAATCCCTGGCTTCTAATCACTCGCAAAATATTATCTCTCCCCAAAATTCAAACTACTAGAGCAATTCAATCGATTAATCAATGAACTCGTCGATTTTCCTCCACAATTTATCAATTCTTCTCGTCAACAATTAAATAATAGCGTAAAAATGTGAAGAATTATCAACCTACTGGCCGAACACTCGTTAATTTCAATCCCTGGGGGAAGTTAATCAAGGAAGAGCGGCGATCAACACTGGGGGATTTTTTTTTTCTTCAACATTGCACTTATTTCTCAGAGTCTTCGATCGAATACATAATTAATACGTGACATTTATGTACCAGTGCTCTGTTTAATTAATTATCTATTTACAAATATCCTGCCTCTTGTCGGGGGAGGAAGGTAAAAGTGGATGACGTTATGATTTTTTTCAGGTGAAACTGCATTTCATGATTTTGAAACTTCTCCTGAAATAATAAAACATAAATATTAGTTTTTCCTCATTCTGCGATTTCATTTTTGTTCATAGGTTTCAGAATTACAAGGGGATGTTAAAATGTCTTGAACAATTTATGATTTGTCATGATTATTTATTTATGATTTATGATTTTTAATAAATAATTCCATAAACTGGAAAACAAGGACAGGTGCATTTTTTTCGAGTTCAGTTTTTAGTCGATATGTCCGAATCAAAGGCGCATAGCGAATTTTTTGCATAAACATTTTTTATGGATAATTATGCCAACTACAAAAAAGGTGTCTATGAAAATACCATTATCTTTCATCAATGTTGAGATATTGGCGGGAAAATGATTTGGAGAAAAGTTTTGGAAGAGAAATAATTCATACTTTCTCTCTGATATCTCCTGCAAGCTTGACTTCTCTCCTCAGCATCGAAATACCAAAGGGTGATGGCATATCTCGTCTTGTAGGCGGGCTGGACCTCGTGAGGATTTCTCCTGTCAGACCAGAAGAACAACAGCCTGTCGAAGAGGGGCTGAATGTCGGCTACCTGATCTCTCCAGCCCTCTGGAAATATCCTCAAGAGTCCACCGTTTTTCTGGACAAGAAAATGAGACATCCCTCAGTAAAACCCACATCAGAGAACGACTAAACTGAGCCCCAAGCAAAATATCAACAACAAATTAAATGAAATTAAATGAAAAATAAAATCTCCAATAGCCAATAACTCGAAAGCCGCGGATTGAAATCGAATGATTACTCTTTCATTTGAAAGTTCAAAAAAAGAACTTCAAACTGATAAAAAAAATTCTTTAATTCCACTCTACCGATCCCAAGCCATTGACGATTGACGAAATTGAATGAACAACTGGTTCAATAATCGACTCGTGACAAACAGGTAGATTTTCAGGAATATCTGGGAATCTAAGGTAGATATCGAAAATATCATGGGAACCTTTTTGATAGCTCTCGCTGAGCTCCCCAAAAAAGGTAGAACAAGCATTTGGATATCTCGCCCAGATCCTAAGATATTCCCCGAACCGTTGACTCGCTCCATCATTTTTACTCATTAAATTCACCTTAATGTCCCAATCTTTGTTGAGGTAGTAAATAGCGGTGATGCATCTTCCATCGCGATTCGGATTATCCACATGTTTAACATAATGAGAGCCATATCCCGGATAGCAGGCGACCATAGCCTGAAAAAAAAAGAATTATTCAGTAATGATTTCTTCAATTTTCCTCGTCTATTAATAACTCTGTCAAGTTCAATCGAGTCGTTTGCGTTTTATTTACAACTGACGTAGACAATATTGTATGAGCATTGTGGTCTCTAAAACAATTCCATTGTCTCCTCCTTTGTTCAATTCTCAGTTCTATGAATTTTTAAAGCTACCCTGACATTTATTAATTTTCAAAACACTTGTCGTTTGAAAAAAAAAAAAAAAAAAAAAACACTGTGACATTCGTTCTACAATTCTTAGTATGAAAATTCCGGAATATTTAGTTGTGGATAATTGTGGATTTTAATTGATTTATTTCTAACGAGTCTCATAGTAATCGGGAATTTCGATTGGAAAATTGAATGAATGTGGAAATGGGTGCGCATGTGTGGCTTTGACAGCTCGTGGAAATCCCCGAATTATTGGGGACTTTCACTTGGCCTACGTGCCCATCAGCCACGCGTGTCCCATTAAGTGATTTCCATCAATAGCCCTGGAATAAATACCGAAGGAAAGAATGGAGGACCCATGGGGAACCGTCGAATTCAGAGAACAATCTTGGGACCAAAATTGCGGTAACTCACTCGGAATTTAATCAATCACAACTGAGTGCACGAGACCAGTGTCCAGTGATCAATAAAACACCTCGTGAGTCATGGGCTCATGGGCTCATGGGCTCGGGAAAAAATCCGGCATCACCTTCTGCAGGAGATCTCCTGGGGAATCTCCTCCAGGTTTATCATGTTAAAAATAGACTCTCTCGAGTCAGTGAAAAATTGAGCTCTCGGAGAAGGATTGGAAGGATCGTTTTCCGTAATTAATTTATACACGTGCGTCGAAGGCCACGCGACTCCATCAATCTTGGACCTTGACACATTTTCCATCGCACCCTTGAAACCTCATCTTCCATTCAAGTGCGAAAATTCGGCCTGTTCCATTGTCTTCCTGCCCTTCATTGTCTTCATTATCTCGTTACAAATTAAATCCTATAACTAATTATTTATTCATAAAGCCACCGTTTTGGTAATTGATGGCAAAATATTTTCGTTATCAAGTCAATCATCAGTTTTTTTCCCCATCAGTCAGAAGATTTTTTATCTGTCAAAATCTTCGCCTGGCCTACGTGCACTTCTGCACCCGTTAAAAGTTAATGATAATTGAGAGTTATTGGACTTTTTCGCAGGGATTTTTCTAGTTCTCGAAGAAGTTCTTCAAGTTGGTGGTCCGATTGTCGTCGATTTGGGAATGAATGACCTGCCTCAACGACCTCAGCATCACCAACCAATCTCCTTCGTTCCATTGAAAAAAAAAAAAAACGTAAAACAAATAGTGCGCGTTATTTCTCGAGTTATCGAATAGTAACATCGAATTTTCCTGCAGCCTCTTCGAGGTCGAGACTAATTTTAAACCCGTGACGTAGTTATGCAAAAAACGAAACCACTTCTCTCACTTCCTCGTGAAAATAAAGATAGAGATTATTTATTTTCCCCGATCGTAATTCCCTGCATGAATTCCCAAAAATGTTTTCTCACTCTCCTACACGTAAATCTTCCCAGATAATATCAATCTTGATGTTTATCCTGACGATAATTTCCTGAATCTAGACTGAGAGGATTCACCTTCTTGAAGGTTGACAGACAAAATCAATTCACTTTCAATTATAGAATATAATGCAAATGAAACCGACAGACCAACGACGAAAATTGATTCAAACGATAGAAACTTTTCTGGTGAATATCTCGAAATCTATGAGAGATAGCCAGATTTTTATGGTCGCCTTTATTGTAGAGCCAATTGAGAATTGTAAAAAAGATCTTACCGAAAAATCGAGTGTTAAAAATTTATAATGATTAAAGACTGAGATGATTAAAAAATTTCTTTTTATTTATTTTACCGAATAAATTTTATGATTATTTTATGATTTAATATAAATTTATGATTTTATGATTTAATATAAAATCACTAGAAACACGTGGGTTGACCGGTTGATCATAATGTACACATTCAAGAATAAATGCTCAATGATGCAAGGTGACAGGAGGGAGGGGTAAATGGCGTACGTGACTGACAGCACTTTGTGGGTTTGTTGCAACTATCATATGAGAAAGAAGTGGCAATGTGTGCCGGAGACAATTGTGTTTACATTCAAGGTGTTTGTAGAGCAGTGATAACAATTTAAACCCACAAAACCAGTCATTCAACCTGAAAAAGGATGAATTATCTTGCGAACCCTTCTGACTATGTTGACAAGCCCTAGTTCATTAGAAGGCTTGAGAAATTTCCGATCGAAGATCCTGGGGGCCTATTTTCAACGCATGGAGAACGTCTTTCGTGAACGGAATATAATCCGTGAAGGTGCGAATGGTTCGTTTATCATTTTCGTTTGGGAATTTTAAATTTGTGAGGTAAAATCTTATTCCCATACGAGATTTCCTCGATTTCGGGATTGAAAATGGATGAAATTGAAATTACCTTCGTCCTGCCATTGATATTGTAATTTCCCATTTTCCCATTGTCATCCATCTTATTGGCCCTCATGACAATGGCATCGACCTGAGATATGAGCATCCCAATGTTGGGACACTGTTTCTCCTTTCCATCGAGCCACGTGATCTGATCTCCCCTGATTGTCTTCAAATCTTTAGCACCAGCTTTATTAGACACGAGTTGACCATCCTTGAACACACCAGCACTGTACATATTCAACACTTCATCGAGCACTGTCAAACACTTGTCAGCCCCAAGAAAATCATCAACAACACAAACACCGTATTTATTCATATCCCTTATAACATTTCTGCATATGTCATCGATTATGAATTCCTCGAAATTATTTCTATTCCTATGGAGAAACGGTGGTAGAAAATCATCGTCACGACTCAGTGACACTTCGGGAAACGTTTTCATTCCGTTCTGATGATGAGAATTGTCTGTAAATATTTCTTCTGAGTCACTGGGCCCAAGTGTTGGGTTCAGAGACTCTGCTCTTGCACCAAGAATTGTGTCCTCTGCACTTCCCTCGAAGAGTATCGGCGATGTCCAGCCGCTTTTTTTACTTTTTCCAGTTGTTGTGGTTGTTGTTTCAATGGAGAATTCGTTCGGGGTTGAGTTCGATCGGTTTTTGGCTAGATCTGTTGGAAAAACAACGGAAAAGGTGAGATTTTGGGAAAATTCCTGGAGGAATTCTACTGGACAACAGAGGGGATTGTTAATGACTGATGTCTCAGGGTAGGACGGTGCGATGTCAATAAATTCAGGGTCAATTTAAAGGGCTTTTCATGCCCTTCAAAATGAGTCCCGAATCCCCGATTTTCATTTTGCCCATTCTGAGATATCTCAATAAAATGTTCGTCCTCATTTTCCGTCGACCTCCTGGTGCAAAATGACTTCAAAACCAGAGGATTTTATAGAGAATTCCCAGATCTAACAAACGCGTGTATTTTCATTCGAGCCCCCCCCCCCCCCGAACCTGTGGAAATATCGCCGATAGAATGAGAAAATATAAAATAGATGAAATTCATGACCAATGTCAAAATGAATCAGCACTCACTGGTTTTCTGGTGCTTCCTGGTGCTCTCCTGTATCCTCTCGATCTCTTCAATGTTATGACTTAGGTTAGAAAGTCCACCACTGAAGCAGGAAGAAGAATGATCCTCATAATCAATGCTCTTTCTACAGTGAACTCGATGTCTCTTCCAATCCAACTTCTGGTGCTCTTTGTTGCAGTAAACAACACTTTTACAACGTGAACATCTGAGTAATTTATCTGTACAACCACATATTGCGCATTCGATAGTTGACACAACGACGCTCGCAGCCTGCGCACGACTGATCCGTCCTGACATGTTTTCAACGGCTCTAACTCCTTCACTTCTCCTTTTCCCACCGATTACCCCAACCCCCCCGCCGCCACCCACCCCCACCTGTCACCTCACTTCCTCGAACTAGACGACATTTTTACGTATCACTAGGTCACATACACCTCTGGGTCAACCAACGAATCAATTTAATATCCAGACTCAACCTGAGATTTATCCCCCGTCCCTGGGATAATACAACTCCTGATGATGACCTTGTCACGATTCTTCATTGACTTTGACAGGTTTTTCCCATTTTTTTTTCTTTTCCTTTTTTTCCCCTTCAATGTCAAATGAATTTCCCTGTGAGCAAGACTTCGTGTCAGATTTTGGAGGTTAGGACGGGTCTGCTGGGACCAGTGACCCGATTTTGGATTTTTTTTGGCGGCCACGGGGTCCTGGCTTCTACTGGGAGGTGGGGACAATTTTGGGGTGTCACGGCTTTTTTTTTTGGGGGGGTACAGAGGGGCACTTTTGGGGCGATTGACACTGCTGACGGTTGGACTGCTTTATCGACTCTGATGAGATTGGAGATGGAGTCGGTAAGCGGATTTTTTTGAAGGAGGGATTTTTTTTTTGAGAAAATATTTTTTTTTACTCTCTCCTTTTTTTTGAAATTTGCAACTTAATTCTCATTTTTATCAATTATTTAATTAGTTATTGTAAATAATTGGGTCATTTTTAATGATGAATTATTATTGGTTGTTATTAATTATACGCCTTCAACTCGTGCTATAAACTTTCCACACGTCAAAAATCCGTTTTCTGCACTTGTTACGAAATATACTATTTAAAAAAATATATATACATGAAATTTTTCTGTTGGTTAAAAGGATTTCCACCTGTTCTCCCGATTTTTCAGTCGTGAGAGGACACCATTGGCTGCTGTCACTCTCCACAGGTTTTTGAGAGTCATTCTGAAAAGTCTTTTGTATTTTCTGAAAAGACTAGATCGATTTCTCGATGAAAATGGAGGAAATGAGTGTTATCGTGCCTGACAAGGTATGTCCACAGATCAATTGAATATTTATTGTAATTTTTTTGATCCCTTTACGCAGATTTTCAAAAAGAAATTCACGTTCTTTGTGGGTCATTGATTTGGGGTTAAGTCTTTCGTTACTTTCTTTCTAAGGATTTTTCTCTGCGGCCGAAATTACTGTCTAGTTCATTAATAAAAATCTTCTTTTTCGATTGTTCCATTAGGACGTTCTGGAGCTGGAGCCAAAACCAACTGTGGGGCACTATTCCTCCGGGGAGGAGCTCGATGTCGAGGATTTGTACACAAAATACAAGGTGCATCAATTTTCAATCATCAAAAACCAGAAATATATCCAGAACTTTTGGATTAATCGATGAGGCCCTTATCACCTTTTGCCTCTACAATCTCTTCCTCTCTCCAAAAACGTCCCCTACAAAATTCTCGTATCTCCCCTCGCTTACGAGATATTCTCAAAAAAAAACGAAGGAAAAAAATAATTTATCATTTCTTCAATTTTTCACTTTAAGGCCCGGGTGGACTACCTATAGAACGTCATCTTTTGTTTAAATTTTATCTTTCTAGCCTAAAATACATAAAAATTTGGGATAAGTTTTGAGGTCACGAAAATCACTGGATTTGGCATGAAAAAATAATGAAAAAAAAGAGGAAAAAATTTTGAAGGGCACTAAAGAGCGATATTTATGAAAAGGGATTTTCCAGGTTTCCAAAAAAATAATGAAAAATATGTAGCATGTATGTCAAGTATTCACCACACAAACCAAACCCTCCACTGAATTGAATGCAGCTACAGGCAATCAAATGCTGCAGATTTTTCATTATTTTTTTGTAAACCTGGAAAATCCCTTTTCATAAATATTGCTCTTTAGCGCCCTTCAAAATTTTTTCCTCTTTTTTTTCATTATTTTTTCATGCCAAATCCAGTGATTTTCGTGACCTCAAAACTTATCCCAAATTTTTATGTATTTTAGGCTAGAAAGATAAAATTTAAACAAAAGATGACGTTCTATAGGTAGTCCACCCGGGCCTTAATGTCCAATTAAATTAAGTGTCTCAGTGAAAATTATGAAAAAATATTTTCCCTCTACTCCATGAATTAATGAAGAAATTTTTAAATTTTCAGAAACTCCAACGAATGCTGGAATTCCTAAAGGTCCAGGAGGAATACATCAAGGATGAGCAGCGAAATCTGAAAAAGGAGTACCTTCACGCACAGGAGGAGGTGAAACGTATCCAGAGTGTTCCCCTGGTGATCGGTCAGTTTCTGGAGGCTGTTGACCAGAATACTGGTATCGTGGGATCGACTACAGGCTCGAATTATTACGTTCGTATTCTATCGACGATCGATCGAGAGCTGCTGAAACCATCAGCGAGTGTTGCTCTTCACAAGCACAGCAATGCCCTCGTCGATGTCCTCCCACCAGAGGCTGACTCCAGCATCTCGATGCTCCAGGCCGATGAGAAGCCAGATATCTTATACAGCGACATCGGAGGAATGGACATGCAGAAACAGGAGATTCGAGAGGCTGTCGAGCTTCCACTCACTCACTTCGAGCTTTACAAGCAGATCGGTAGGATTTCATTTTACTCTTTACATTTTTCCACACCTCAATTATAATTACAACAATTCAATCAATTTAATTACAAAAATTACGTGATAAATAAAAAAAATTGAGCTTTTCCCAATTTGATTCATGATGAATATTTCTGAATGTAATGTGCGCCGAAAATGAGGGGATGGGATCGATTAGAAGTTATTTTTTCCCTGAATTTGAGAGGAGTTAAATGAAAATTATTTCTACCCCCCCAGGTATCGATCCACCCCGTGGAGTGTTGATGTACGGTCCCCCGGGATGTGGTAAGACGATGCTGGCGAAGGCAGTGGCACGTCACACAACAGCAGCTTTCATTCGCGTCGTGGGTTCTGAATTTGTCCAGAAGTACTTGGGTGAGGGTCCTCGAATGGTTCGCGATGTTTTTCGTCTGGCCAAGGAGAATTCACCAGCTATTATCTTCGTCGACGAGATTGACGCCATCGCCACGAAACGATTTGACGCCCAGACTGGGGCTGATCGAGAGGTGCAACGAATTCTTTTGGAGCTTTTGAATCAGATGGATGGATTCGATCAGACAACAAATGTCAAGGTCATCATGGCTACCAACAGGGCTGATACTCTGGATCCAGCTCTTCTTCGTCCAGGAAGGCTCGACAGGAAGATCGAATTTCCACTGCCAGATCGACGACAGAAGCGTCTTATTTTCTCGACTATAACCGCGAAGATGAATTTGAGTGAGGAAGTCGATCTCGAGGACTACGTTGCACGTCCTGACAGAATATCTGGGGCTGACATCAATGCTATCTGCCAGGAGGCTGGAATGCACGCTGTTAGGGAGAACAGGTACATCGTCCTGGCCAAGGACTTCGAGAAGGGATACAAGAATAATATCAAGAAGGATGAATCCGAGCACGAGTTCTACAAGTAAATCATGATTTTTCAAATTGTCAAACGTTAACGGCACTTTATCTCGCGATTGAGGCGGGTTATGGGGATGAGTGATAAAAAATTATATCTGGGGAACTCAATTTCCTAGAGAAAATGTTTATCGACTTTTCTCGTAGCAGTGCTCGCTCTTGACATAATTGAAAACTCAAGGTTCACTGAGGAATAATTCACTTTTTTATCGTTTACTTTTGGAGTAATTATCATTTATGTCATGTTTTGTAATCGAGGATTCCAGGTTATTATGTACTGATGCTGAATAATAAATAAAAAATAATCAATTTCAATCGTTCGTTTAATTAATTATTTCATTGAACAATTCCATCCCAGTTGATTCCAAATTTTTATTAGAAATTTTGGTCGAATTCTATTTTAATTATAGACAATTGACTTTGGATTAATGTTTAATTTAATCCTCCTTTACTTCAAACAAAATATTATATTTATAATGCGCGTTAGAAAGCTGAAGAAAAGTGGGCAATGGTCCAGTGTTCTTCAGCAAAGATCCAAAAATAGATTTGATTCTCGACGTCCCACAAGTCTCATCTGCAGTCGAGCATCAGTGAGAGCATCATCGTCGTGTTATCACCAGATCCAGTTGATTTTTCACTGGAGATTATCCTGAGGAATACGAAATGAGTGTGAGTGAATAAATAAACCATCAAAAATCATCTCGATCGATTCTTTTAAATCGACTGATCAATTCACAATTTTTTTTCAATTGGAAATCCTTCAGTTTTCTCTTGAGATTCATCAATTTTCATTCTATTGGTTTCAATTACTCTCTACCTCTTTCGGGAGGGGATAAATTTGTTTATCGATGGAGAATGGGTGCAACCAGGAAATGTATGTTAATTCATGGAAATAAACCGAGTGGCGCACGATTTATTTTTGGATATTGAGCTTTTCCTCGGTTTCACAAATAGATTTTGTGATCGGTGCCGTTACGAGGAATTTTCATTTTTTTGAGGGAGTTTTGGGATTTTTGGGATTATGAGATGATTTTTGGGGGTTGTGGGGAGATTGCGCTGGGTGATTGTTCAGGTGTCGGGGAAATATCTTGCAGAATCCCGGGCCGGAGAAGTGGCGGCCGATGGCCATTTCTAATCCGTCCACCAGACTGAGGATGGCGAGGACAATGCCCCACTGGGTCATGGTATGTCGTTTCTATTGGTTTTTTTCCCTCCGCCGATGTCGCCGATTTCCGCACGAATTTATATGGCTTTTTAAATGAAATATGAATAATCTTGAAATTTCTCATTTCTCGGGACTTAAAAAATCGGGAGATTAAACGAAATTAATTATTTTATTAATATATATGTATATATATTAAAATGAGAATTAATATAATGAATATATTATTATTATTATTGTTACTATTAGGATGTATTTAAAAATTTAAAAAATGGATGAAAGAGAATTTCTTAGACTCCTCCCCTGGTATTCAGGCACAGGATCATCAGAAATCAGCGCCGCAGTCCCGAGGGGTTCCAGCACCCCCGAAGATGCCCCCGCCCTCCCTGACAGGTGATTGCGGTGATCCAGATTATGAAGTGATCGAATTTCCCCCGTCAAATCGATCGCCGAACCAAAACTCCAGCCCCCAACAGCGAAATCCCCATGTCACCCTGAAATGCGCTCTATGCGGAAGTGGAAATTTATTCGCCAAGTGCGATGTTTGCAGAGAGAGCTACTGCGAGGCCTGCGACGACATGAATCATAAACACCCGAAAAGACGGGGTCATACCCGGCGGCGAATAGTTACCCAGGAGGTGTCGTCCAGAGCAAGACCACCACTTCCACCAAAAGGGGAATCCCAGGCACCACCAGTCCCACCACCACGACGAAATCGTAGAAACACTCAGGTAGGCTGCGCACTGGCCTGAAAACTGACATTCATACCATTTCAGGAATTTAGTTTTTCATGAATTTTTTTATATCTGGTATCCGGTAATTAGAGAATATAATTAATTCGGTGTAATTAATCCATAAATATTTTTTCTGGGAGAGAGTAGAATGTTGGTTTTAAATTCTGAGGCATTCGTTCACGAATTTTGTTGAATTTTCATTTTATTCATTGACCATACGTAATTAATTTAATTTAAAGAATCAGAAATTAGAATAATTAAGTCAACAATTATAATTTAACTGATGAATAAGAATTTTCAACGAATTTTCTGGGGCAGAGTAAATGAAAGAATTATTTGGGAAATGAAATTGGAGAATTTCGTAAAAAATAGATAAAACCTGAAATGTCACACCGAGGCGTCACGATTACTCCACGCAATTATTTAATTAACTAATTGTAATGAACACTTCAAAGTGAAATATTACAGGGAGAATACTGTACACGATATAGTTGCTTTAATCCCCATTCCCAACTCCTGGTGAATCCCTTTATTAGAGGTAATTAGCGACGATATCCTCAAGGGGACGATGGATTTTGTTGTGGATAATTTAATGTGAGGTTTCGGGCCCTAGGCAAGGGCTTTGAAGCAGGAGTCCGGGGTGAAGAAAACCTTGAATCACCAGGAGAGACCCTTGCCATCGGCACCCGATAGCAATATTATTAATCAACGAACTGCACAATCTCATTCGGCCTTGGATAGTGTCGGCACGGGATTGGATAAAATGTCCACTTTACAGGTAATTTCTTATCTTAATTATTATTATTTATAATTCATTAGTCATCCCATTTTTTCTACCTCTTCACTTTTTTAAATTCAACAACAAATTATTTTTTTATTCTCAGCGGTTTAATTGATGTTTTAACGATAAATTATTATATATATATTGATTTTTATTGGAGTATTATTTACGGAAAAATTGCTCAGGAGAGGTACCGGAGGTACCAGGAGGCGATGAGAGCTCAGGATGCCAGCCGAAGGAGAATCAGCACTCCGGAGGGGATGAGGGAGGCCAACACCCCCCGGCCCCTGAGTCTCGGCAACTCGAGGCCGATTTTACATACACCACCACCTCCACCCCCTAGGAGCATGATGGGATCCTCTAGCGTCTCCGACCTCTCGGCACAGCATCTGTGGAACCCTGGGATGCAGCAGGTGAATTTTTCCGTTCATTAAAAACAAAATTAGTATTTTTTTCATTAAAAATTGAAGAATTTTCCAAAAATTTGAGAGAAAAGGCAATTTTATCTTGGAAAATCAATGAAATAATAATATAATCATATAATAAATACATAATAAACAATATTATTATATTTTTCATGAAAATCAATTTTTTCTGTAAAAAATTGGTCCTGACTTCAGGCCCAATCAATGGCCCACCTGGGTCCCCGAGGTGTTCCCCTGATGTGGTACCCCCCAGGTACACCCTGGGACACAAGCCTGAGTGGATCGACGATGAGTTTGAATCACCCAGGAATCTGGGGCTACCCGATGGGCTACACCCCCCAGGCGATGCTGCCACCCCAGTACCCAGGTACGTTATCACGCTGTCACAGCCCCGCGAGGAGCTACAAGTCCCGGAGGAGTAGACCAGCCTCACCATCTCCGAGCACCAGATCCAGGAAGTCAATGATCTCGAGATCGAGATCACGACCACCATCTGATTCACCGAGTGACGCCAGCTCCGAGGAGTCCGACGAGTCAGATTTCGATGACAGATTGTCCAGGTCCTCCAGGAACATGAGAAGAACGAGCCTGAAGAGGCGCGGGTACGAGGACGACCGGTGCAGAATATCCACGAGTCGAAGAGGGTGAGGAATTTCTACTATTTCTTTTCAACAGGAATTCGTGGAACTGAAAAATTAATTTAAATTTCATTTTGAGTCATGGATTTCAAGGGGTATGTCCTGGTTTCAGGCACTGGAGATCAGAGGATCAAATACCCCATCGAGGTGATTTTTCCGATCTGGAGACACGTTCGTACTCCTCCCGTCACGCCTCAGAGGCCGAGGAAGACCGTCGATCCCGTCGGGGAGGTTCAGTCCTTCGAGATGACTCACGTCGTCGCCTCTCAGAGACCGAGGAGGACCGCCAGAGGAGCATCTCCATCAGTCGCAGGTCCCAGCGTTCCTCCATCTCCCGAAATTCCGAGACCGATGAAGACAGACGAAGGGACCGACGAAGGCGCTCACAGTCCACCGAGCGCTCCCTCGAGCCTGATAAAATCATCGACAAGCCCAACGGTGTCAGGAATCACCGGAGATCTAGTACTGATCAGGATTCGGATACCAGATCCAATCGTGAAGCCGTCAGGAAAATTCAGAGACCTAAAGCGGAAAAACCCCAAGTGAAAGTTGAAGTCGAGAACTCCCGGGCTCTGGATAATTCGAAGAAGCTCCAGGACCCCGGGCTGGAGCTCGTCAAGCACATGGGGATCGATGACAAGAGAATTAAACAGAAATTCAATAGAGAGGGAGTTGTGAGTGAGGAATGGGCGTGTGAGCACTGCACTTTTATTAATGATCATAAGGTTAAAGTCTGCGTCGTCTGCTGCAAGACCAGAAACTCGGCGCTTCCCCCAGGTGTCAGGAACGATCCGGGGGACGGAAAACATAGGGTATCGAACAGTGAGGAGAGCAACTCGAATATCAAAGGTAGAATGAGAAGGAAAATTAGTTTTTCTTTTGGGACTAAAGTTTTTAAATAAACTGACAGATTTTTCGTGGAAAATTAAATACATCTGGGGCTTCAATCATTTTTCAATCATTTTTTGGGGCTATTCACTGGATTTTGATTGGTTATCGATTCCGGGTGTCTAAGAGGGCTTGATGATTTTTTTTATCTTTTTTTTTTTTTCGGGTCCTTCGAGGAATTATTTTGGGCTGGGTATTGGTGGCGCTTTTTATTATTTTTAAGAAAGTTTATACTTTTTGTGCACTCTTGTACGATTGAATGAATAATAAAGATTATTTGAAATTGATTTATAGTTGGAATTTTTTATTATTCATTCAAAGGATTTTGGTTTTTTAGAATTATTTAAAATAGCAATTAAAAAAAAAAATTATGTAGTTGTTAGTAGAATAGAATAATTTACTTATTCATTCGTTTTAGACGAGGGAAATTCTGGGGAAGTAATTACAGATGAGCTGAAGGAAAAAATGGCCGAGAAGTTGCCGTCGAAATGTACTTTGACTTCTCCAATGAGAAACCTGGGAACTGCTTCAGGAGAAACACCAGAATCGTCATCGCCACCTGCAGCTGATCTCTCACTAGGAGTTCAGGCCATCTCCATCGAGAGAGGAACATCCCCTCCACCTCAGAGTATCGCTACCCAGGTGAAAATTCTCATTCCCCTAAAAACTCAACGATTTGATTGATAATGATTTAATTAGAAAAACAAGGGAATTCTGTTCTCCAGACGTACGAGGTGCCCCAGGAGGTAAAGGCGACGGCGACGAGGAAATCGAAATTATCCCCAGATCCACGTCAGCTATTCTGCGACGAGGACAGCGATTCAGAGGTAAGAAAATCCCCAACAATGGAAATAAAAGACTAAAAAAATGGATGAGCCTGCGTTCCAGGAACCGACGAGGTACAACAGCCCGGACTTGTATCCCCATGTCATCCAACCCCAGTACGTCCTCCAAGCGACGTCTCATCGCTCCAGACGAAATTCCATCGACTCTCCTCATCTCTATTACCGCTCCAGGGTAAATCCTCGATTTTCCCTCCGGGTGTTTCCCCGATTGTTTATCAGTTTTTTCGCTTCTTATATTTTATTTTCTCGTCGTGGATTAATTGTTCAGCCTCGGTGTGATAGTGATTAATTAGCCCTAGAATTAGAATTGCAATATACTCCTGGATTTTTTAAATAATTAATAACGATAATTAATGACAATTGATAACGATTACGTAATTAAAATCAATTGTTTAATCGTTACAGCTTTGATTTTTGTGTGTCGATTGTCCATTTTTGAAATAATTAATGATGGTTTAAATTTGGAAAAGGAGCCAAGTCAGTCCAGATATCACCAGGAGTCACCACACCACCCACCATCCCCAAGTGTCTCCTTGACACGCCAGGGGCTGGAGATCGTTGAGATGCTGCGTGACGCTGAGAAAAATGGTTTCTCAGCTGATGATCTCCGGGTGGCACTGGCCCAGGGTGCGGCTAATCCGTTGGAGTGGTTGACCCACCAGTGGCCTCATCTCGTGGACACTGTCCAGGTGTTGGTGTCCACCAGGGGTCGAGAGATGCCTGACGATCGGAATGACATTGGCATATTGTCTGGTCAAGAGGCGAGGGAAGCCCTGAGGTCCTGCAGAGGGGATGTCTGGACTGCTGTCACAAAGGCCATTCAAATCAGACAGCAGAAGGTGCCATTTTCTTCATTAATTAATCAATTTTCAAAATGATGATGAATATTATTATTATTATTATCGGATCAGTATATTAATTTGAGTCTGATTGGAATTTAATTGGAATTTTTTATGCCAATTTTGGATATTTGTCAGAAATCGAATTGTTTTTATGTTTTTTTTTTTTTCTCCAGTGCGCAGGGATAATGTCGAAAGGAAATTTTCCACTTGTCGACGTGATTAAGGCCCTGAATAATCACGGAGGTAATGAAGACGTCGCTCTTCTTGAACTCCAGAAGAATCTGTTGAAACCGTTTTTAATGCGAATTTGGGGACCACCTGTTGGGGTTGAGAACGACGAGGCCGCACCACGCGTGGGTAAATAATTTATGTAATTGCATCAATGTAATCAATAAAGACGACGATTTTGAAAAAAGACTGATAAATTGAGAAAAATGATTTTCTGTTTTGTATTGAAATGCAGAAGTGGCTGGTGCGATCGATTTGTCGGGAATAATCGATGAAAAATCGGTAGCAGCCGTAGGGGAGTTGGAAGCAAGCAATCAGGTAATGTCAGAAAATCACTCTCATTTCCCAGAGTTGCAGGAAGATATCCCGGAAGATCTCATCGAAAAACACTCGAAAATCGTTAAGAAATCCCTAATCGAAGGTAATAATGAAAACGATTTATTCAGCAGTTGTGAAATTCTCCGAGACGATGAAAAATCGATAAACATTGAACGAAAAACTGTCAAAACCCAGCAGAATCAAGGAATTCGATTAATCGATAAAATTGTGCCTGAATCCCCTGAGGAAAAAGAAAGTGAAGTGAACAAGCCGATCGTGAGAGAAATCAATCGTAAATTGATTGATCAAACAAATGAAATCGATCGAATCGGTTCGTCAGAGGCTGTGGAGAAATTCCTGTCGGCAATGAAATCTCTTCCAGAGCAGTTCCTGGGGCCTCTTACGGTTGCTCTACAAGGATTCCAGAATAAATCGGCGAATGGAATCGGTAATTGGAAAATTGCAGGGCCCGCAGTCAATCCGCTTTATGAAAATGTAGAACTTCCAAGAGAAATTGATAAGAAAGTGGAGGGAAATCCCTCTGAAAGAATCCCTCTTACAGAGATCTCTTCAGGGGCATCAATTTCTCAGAGAGAAATTGAAAAATCGGAAGGCACAAAATTTCCACCGATTTTACCGCAGGAAATGCAAAAAAATCTAAAAAATCAAGTGAACAAACCAAAATTCTCTGGGGAATCCCGTGAAAAAATTAAAAGAAAGGAAAATCAAGGAATTGACGTGGAAAAATCGAGAGATAACTCAGCGACTGAAAAACCGATTGAAAAATCGAATGAAAAAACCACGGAAAATGAGTCAATTCCGGTAAAAAAAATGCAAATTAATTCAGAAGATGGGAGTGACCCGAAGTTAAAAAAAGAAATACCTAAAGAATCGAAATTTGAACGCCAAAAAAAACCAAGAAATTCAAATGATGTAAAATTGAGAGAAGAAATTCCTGTAGAACAAGAAATACTAGTCGAAGAACATGTAAATAATGTGAAAGTGGAAGAAGAAATAAAAAATTCAAAAAATGAGGGGATAAATTCTCCGAAAAAAGAAATCAATGAGGTTTCGTCCAAATCATCAAAACTTGTTCCAGAAGTCATGGAAAAAATTGAAGAAACTGAAAAAGCGATGGGATACACAAAAAATACTGAATTCACTTCCGGAAAAAGCGAATCACCATCAGAAGGGGTACGTACACAGTGTGAAGTTGAATCCCTCGAGTCATCATCATCATCATTAAGCATGAGTGCACTCAAATCATTAAAAACTAAATTCTCGAGCATGATGTCAAGATTTCCATTATCGAAATCCATGAAAATGGGATTGAGCGATAAACCAGAGTTCCCTGCTACTAATAAAACTCGAGAAGAAATGATCAAAGGAGAAATAAAAATTTCTAACGCTTTCAATGACCTCAAATCATCGAGTCCAGTTGAACCCGGAGTTTTAGTGAATAGTCCCTCCAGAGATAGCGAAGAAATTCGGGATTTTGTTGGTTTGAGGAAGAAAAAAGGGGATGACTCAGGGAATTTATTTTTTGAGAGTGATTTTAGGCGCAAGGACGGGGTCAAGGTCATAAGAAGTTCTATTTACATTGAGCCTTTGTGTTTTTCCAAGGGAAGACCACACGATAAAGTGAAGGATAAGAAGATATCTGATGATAAGGAAGAGAAACTTCAGGGAATTGATCTTTTGAGAGAACAAATAGAGAAGGACACGGAAAATGCTGTGAAAAGTGCTGAAGAGAATGAATTGTCTGAAGAGTTCTTTGACACTTTAGAAGAATTTAAGATTCCAGAAGTTATTGAAGAAATGGTGAAGAAGGTAGAGGTCGACCTTGAGGGAAGAAACAATTACAGAGAAGACTTAATTGAGGGAATGAGGCCTGAGACGTTTGAATTGATGATAAAGGAGTCTCCGGTGGTAGCCGTGAACGATGCAATTCCGGCTTTGGAGTCTCTGGTGGTTCAGGGGTCTTTGAAGATGAATCTGGTGCGATTGGATGAAATGACTATTGGGTCTGATGTCAATTGTGAAAAATCCCTGGATGAAACGATATTGTCTGGACATCGAGGGACTCCACAGGAAAAAATCAGAGACGTAGGGAAGATCCGGAAGAATTCGGTGGTGAAGAGGACGAGGCAGAGGGCAAAGTCTCCGGTGAAAAGAATTTATGGGAGGAGAATACCAGGGAGAGCCACGATCAAATCATTCTCTCCTCCGAAGAAAAATTCTGTGGTCGTTTCTAGGAATTCTATCAAGAGCGGAAGATTGGATGGACGAACTTCAGAAACAATGACTCAAAATCAGAATTCAGAAATTGATGGGAAGAAAGATGGAGAGGCGAAAATTAATATAGAAACAGTAATGAAGATGAAAAAACCACCGGGAACACCAGAAACTCTGAAGAATATAAAAATGAGTGAAGATAAAACTTGTGAAGAGATGATAGCGCCAGAAAAATCTCTTCGCGAAGAGAAGAAATTCTCCATTGATGAAGAAATTGTAACAAAAATAAAAATGAAGACTACGGGAACTTCAAATTTATTACAAACTGCGGTGAGGTCTGATGCGAATGATGGAAGAATAAAAAACGAGAATAAAGTGGTGACAGTTGACGATAAATTACGGAAATCGCAGTCGAAAATTCCGGTTTACCAGAAGAAACCTCAGACTGTCTCAGTGACTAGTCAGAAAATTATTGAAGTGAGTTCTTCAGTGCCTGTGAGAACTGAAATAACACCCCCGGTTCGGGCGATTCCGGTCCTCTCTCCAACTATTTCTTCACCAAATACTGCAATTAATGATTTAATAATTAAAAATAATAACAAATGCCGTAAAGAAAGCGATAACTCTCCCCCATTCACCCCCAAAAATGGAGAAATAGATGGAAAACATCAGACGAATTCCCCGAAAGGAGAAATAAAAATATCAAATATTGAAGAAGAAATCAGAGAATGTGAAGGTGAAATTGAAGAGAAAGAAATGGAACAAGTCGAGGCTGAAGAAAGTTCCGAGGAAGAAATTGTAGAGATAATCGAAGAGATAACATACTCCAGTAATTCTGACTCGACAGGCTCCCACAAAATGGCGACAGTCCTTGAGAGAAGATCATCCTCAGAGGATCCCACGGGTGCAGAACTAATGCTGCAGCGAACTCTAGATCGTATAAAAGCGGAATTATCAAATTCCGAGTTTGAAGATGAAGATGCAGAGGAGATGATGATAAATTCCAGTGAAGATGATGATGAAGAGATCCCAGAGATATCTGAAGACAGTTCAGTCGACAATTCCCTGGAGTCTTCACCGCCATCTAGTCTCCCAAGGGATGACGTTCATACCCAGATTGACCAGATGATCACGGTTAATGTCAAATTGAATCCTTCGAAATTACGAGCGAGTGAGTCTGAAGCTATCGATCCCGCAGTAACACCCAGAAAACGTTTCTCCATTGTTGCTAGTTATGTTGAACAATTTGAAGGAGAAATGCCAAAACGCGAGAGAAAAAATTCAAGAGAAGTCAAGGACTTGCTCATACCTGACAAATCACCGAAGAATGAGAGGGAGGTCAGTAGTCCAGACAATCCCAAGAATATTCCCCCAGAACACATCAAATTGTGGATTTATGATATTATTATAACAATGGCTCATGACATCCGCATGTGCTATAGCTTTAATTATCATTAAAAACTTTTCCATTAGAAAAGAAAATTCAACTCCAGACTCTTGTTGCTCTATTAATTCTTTCATTCATTCATATTCGTTCACGTTTACGTAATTTTTTTTCTCATCAATAATTCCTTTTCAATTGTCTGTAATTGTTTTATGAGGGATAATTATTCCTCATTATTTTCAAATTTTCGAATTAATTCGTAGTAATTAATTAATATTGCTTGAAGGGGTGAGGATGTTATTGTAAATGATTGATGATTTCCTGTAGAGGACGGCAAGACGTTTATTGGCAGAGGAAAAGGTCTCCAGCTACGAAGAGGCAGAGGTTGCCGCTAGTCTCATCAGTCTGAAGTTCAACGATGAAGAAGCTATTAATGCAGCCAAAGAATGTGGGAGTGTGGAATCAGCAATAGCATATCTCCAACAGGAGTGTGAATTGTGTACTGGGAGATTCGCTGTTAGTCAGGTAGACCCTCACACTTCTTTCCAGTTACTCCAGAATAATTCACCAGGTGATATTTTCTCTGCAGATGGTCTCGATGCTGAAGTGCGTTCACAGATGCTGCAATGATTGCGCTAAGAACTACTTCACTATTCAGATTAGTGACAGGAATATCGTGGATGCTGTTTGCCCTTTCTGCAAGGAACCTGATCTGAAAGATGCCAATGAGGACGACATCCTCGAGTACTTCAGCATCCTTGATATTCAGTTGAAGTCTCTGCTCGATCCACCTATTCACGAACTCTTCCAGAGAAAATTGAGGGATCGGACTCTCATGCAGGATCCCAATTTCAAATGGTGTGCACAGGTGAGAATAATTACTCAATCGCAGAATCAATCATTCATTGATAAATCGATGGGAAAGCGATTTTTTAGTGAATAAATTTTTTAAGAGAGAGTGCTTGGGGTAGAATTAAAAGGTATTATGGATTATTATGGGATTATTTGAATAATTAAAATTGTCATGTAATTTTGATGAAAATGATGTTTCAGTGCTCGAGTGGATTTTATGCAAATCCAAATCAGAAGCGGCTGATCTGCCCTGACTGCAGATCTGTGACGTGTGCCTTCTGTCGGAGACCTGTAAGAATATCTCTACACTTCAATCAATTAAATTAAGAATGATCAAGTGAAATAAATTGATTAACTGATCTCTGTAAAAATTTGCAGAAGACTTTGAAGCTGTTTTTTTGTTTTGTTTTTTTTTTTATTCAAATGTTTGTATTGAATTTTTAATGAAATTGATGAACTCCAGTGGGAGAAGCAGCATGAAGGGACGACCTGCGAGCAGTTTTCCGCGTGGAAGGACGAGAATGACCCCGACAATCAGGCAGCAGGTCTAGCTCAACACCTGGCGGACAATGGTATCGACTGCCCCAAGTGCAAATTCCGTTACTCCCTGTCCCGTGGTGGTTGCATGCACTTCACCTGTCACCAGTGCAAGTACGAGTTCTGCTGTGGATGTGGCAAGGCCTTCATGATGGGTGCCAAGTGCACAATCAGCTCTTACTGCTCAAAACTAGGTCTCCATGCTCATCATCCTCGAAATTGTCTGTTCTATCTGCGAGATAAGGAGCCAGGACAACTCCAGGTGCTCTTAAGGGAGAACAAAATCGAATTCAATACCGTTAATCGTAATAATGATCGCAAATGCAAAGTTCAGCTGCAGAAGGAAACACCGACTGGTGTTGTTGATGCTATCTGCAATGCTGATGTCGTGGAGAATCACGCGGGACTCTGCAGGTAATTCAATTAATTAGTGATCATAGGAATAACTATTTATTTTCTCAATCGGTGGATAACATATTGTAATTATGAATAATCATTACCTTGAATCATCAGTAATCAATTAATGATAATCGTTTCACCCCAACATTTTTTATGAGAAGGTTTAATTGAATTATTAATTGAATATATTAATTTTCAATTTATATGTATAAAAATAAAGTGCACGGGTCGTAAAGGTAGATTTGTAGATTTTATTTGAATGAAATGAGAATAATTGACTCGTGACTGTAAGACTTTGAAATCCTCTCGGTGATTAATAAATTGACTAATAAATTGGATCCAGGAGTCACTACGTTGAATATCTCGTGGAGAAAATCCGTGTGTCAAAACTGGAACCACTGCCTATTCTGTCAATCGATGACCTCGAAACGTGTATCAAAAGGGCTGGTATGAATTTACCACCGAATTGGTACAAACGAAATCCTGATGACTATAGGCGCGATTTATTCAAGGTAAATTCGGCGAATTGTACAATTATTATTAAAATACCGGTGCTTTTCCCCGCAGGCAGCACTACGTTGAGTACCTGGCCGGTCTAGTGCTCAAGGCTAAATTGGATCCTGTGGAGATATTTGATTTGAACGAGGCGAAACAAGAGTTGCGCCGACGGGGAAAAGTGCCGCCTGCTAAAGCACAGGAAATTTCTGAGATGGAATACCTCAGAGTTTGCATTCAGGTGAACTGAATAGCTTTTTTATCCTTTATTACTAAATACACAACAATTCATTTTATTGCATTTGTCAATAATACGTGAAACTGTCTATTATTTTATTGTTAATTTTGACTTTTAACATTTTTATTTGTATTTATTTCATTTATTTTTCCATTGTTCTGTAAGAATTCGTAGGAATTATGATTTATTTAAATTTTCTTGTTTTGTGGATATTTTTTGATTATCTAATAGTGCAATAGTTTTATTATTAATATCGATTATTAGTCGGAAATTGTCATTAATTGTCATTATTGATATTTCAGGTGGTGCAAGAGGAAATTCCACTGGAGTAAATTTTTCTGGATTACTTATACTCTAATTTTATCTATTCACCAATTTATTATACAAACATTTATATCAGACAATAAAGAAGTTGAAAATATATTGGAAGCCTTTATTAATCCAAAATGCTTTTTTTATTTATTTTTATTTATTAAAAAAATTTTTATATCACCGATAAGATATTTTACAATTAATAAACAATAAATTTATTGATACAAAATTCATACGTGAAATCATTTTTCATTCATTATAGTCAGATAAGTGTTTATTAATTGAATGAATAATTAATGAATAATTAATTTTACTCTGAGTATATGAAATTTTTTATTTAATATTCACCTCTGACGCAATAACTTTTTATTGCAGTAATTATTGTACGTCGCAAGCAGTATATCATAGTATTCACCGATGCAATTATCAAAGACCCGTGTTTTCCGACCTGAGAAAAATAACGAAATTACTCGGAAGTCAGGAATAATAGATTACTCGTAATTATTCGAGTAATCAGTGACTTGGGATAATTATTTTATCGTTTTATTGAAATTTTATTTGTTTATTTCATTGAAAGTGATCAATTATGTGCGCTAAATTAAAATGAATAATCAATTAATTAATAACTGTTGTAATAATGATAGGTATGGATTTTTTAATGGAATTAGGATTATTGAGGATAAAATTGGAATCAATTGGAATCAATTATAATCAGAAAAATGTATAAATAATACAATTTATTTATTCCTTAATGCTAATTGAATTCAAAATATCTATTACAAATACTGTCAATATAAATAAATTTATTTACAAGTTTATCTCAACTTTATGGCAGGCAGTTGACATCATCCACAGAAGGAAGAACTTCAGAATATAATTGGATGAACCTGGTGAGAGGACACAGTCTTCCACATCTAGGAATATTTATGAGGGAAGTTTCTTGGGGATCCCCGAGATAATAAATTATCTAATAATATGAAAATAAATAATGGAGTTATAAGACATAAAAAACTGGAGGGCGGGGGGAATGAATTGAAAAAACTGAAGAAATTATTGAATTCAATGAACAAGTTCTTACCCTGACGAAATATTCTTTGCGCTCCTCCAACAATTCAACAAAAATGGCACTAGAGTATTCTGGAACGTGGGGTGAATAAACCCCAAGGGCTTCCATGAGAGCTGTCAAATTAATCTCATGACCACTCAGCAACACCATCTTCAGGGGAGATTCTTTTTTTGCTGTTGCTGTTCGTAGCATATTGTCGGTGAAGTTCTTCAAGAGCATTCCTGAAACGATTTCAAAAAAATTTCATAAATAATTATTTACTCCCACCACTAGAATACATTATTCATTGTTGTAAAAATAATTTTAGTCTCTTTATTTCCCAATTATTTATTTATTGTCTCACCTCCATTCAACACTTTCAGTCTTTCACTCCAGCTCATGAGTCGATAATTAAGAATGGCCCCATCATGAAGCTGTCCATAAGGAAATATCCCTGACGTCCATTCGGGGAGTCTCAGGCCCATGGCATTGAGGGCCTTAAGGCTGTTGTAGAGGCCCTCCATGTCGAGAGCACTTCTAATAGATTTTCCAGTCCACTTGGTGAGGAATTCCATGAGCCTTTGGTATTCTATGAGTTCTCTCTTGAAATCTATCGATTCTTCGGCATCGTTCAGCTCTTCCTTGAACCTGAAGTAATTCATTCTATTGTTTAACCCCATGAGATTATTAAGGGGCCTCTAATCTCCACTGACCTTGGACAGTCCTGGGGCCTCAGCAGAGTGTCAGGATGTGGCACGTAGTTGGCGATTACTGGCTGCCAATTGAAGTCGGGATGCCACTGCTGTTCAGGTGCTGGTGGAAATATTCCTGCCATCACCAGTTGAAGTGACATCTTGGTCCGGTCATAATCAGAACTACGAGCGATAATAGCACTCGGATGATACACGTCCCCCAGAAAATCACCGTATCTCTCGCGAATTTTTACTCCAAGCTCGTACACACGACGTTTACCTTGCTGAAAATTAATCAGAGATAATGACACATTTTTTTAGATCATCAATTCACTCACATCCGCTCATCAACTCTTTTCATCATTATAATTGTTAATTGTTAATTATAAATGTAAAAAAATAAGGGGTTTTTTTTTTTTATTCAATATATACTTTGTAAAGCTCACTGACAGTTTCAAGTGCTATGACAAATTATTATTTTGTGCGCTTACATTGGTCAATTGTCCTAAACCGTAAGGATAGAATGTCCAGTTGAGGTAGGGACTTGTGGGGAAGGGCTCGTCGTCGTTGTCCAGGGTCGTCCTGTCCCCATGACGAAACACCTGAAATCGATCATTCTAGATTATTCTGCTCCGGGGATTGAGATTGAGAATTTAAATTTATTGAAGGATTTTATTTCGCACCACATTCACAAATTTAGTGTGCAATGGCAAAATTCCAGGCAATCCAATGACCAGGACAATTAGTTGAATCCTCCACATGGTGATGTCCAGTTACTTGCACAACTCGCCGATCATGTACTGTACGATCTCCTTTCACGCGCGTTATATACCCCAGAATCCGTTATGAATCAATAATTTGCTGTTTCCGTTAAGGAAATCTCATGGTGATTACTGATGTTCGTTAATGATTTGTTTTAACATGTGAGAATTGTTTCCCTGTCGGTTTTCCTGCGTCAATTGCTAATGGAAATGAGGGAAAGGAAAAATTACAATGGAAATTAATACCGGGAATGATTTGTTGTCGAATTGAAGATTGTAGGGTGAAAAGTTGGTATTTTTTTCAAGGATATCTATTGTTTTTAGGTTTCATTTTCATTTAATTATGATGAATAGGAATTATTTGTTTATTTTCTTAAAAATGTGACGAGAGGAAAAATCGTATAAGCTATTTTTAGAAATTGTTATCTAATGGATTGAATTAGTCCTGGCGTCACGTGCGTATTGAATCACATGTGATCGTAGTTTTTCCCTTGTTACTACGAATCTTATTTAAATGTTCCTCAATCGTTTTCTTCGGGAAAGCTCATTATGATTCTCATTCAGGGATTTCCCAATGGTTATTCATGACTTTAAGAAAAATTTTTTATTTATTTCAACTCTTCTGGGATAATTATCGAATTATATTTCTATACCATTATTTTATTATTGTTTTATTATTATTTTTAGATGCACTTCATGTCTTCCTCGGAGGGAATTAATTGACTGTAGAGTTGGACGAATTTCTTGAAAGGACACAATTCGTTGCATCCAGGAATAATTATTCTGGTGCGCTCTGCGGGAATCCCCAGGTAGTAGGAGATCTGAAATAGTTCATTAAACTATTAAAACGTTAATTAATTATTCAAATTACGTAAGATTACCAACATCATGATTATTATTGATTATTTAAAATTGAGTTGAATTAAATAGACGTTGAGGTATTTACCCTGACATAATATTCTCCATCATCCTCCAGGAGTTCCATAAATATTGCACTGCTGTACTGGGGATGATCGGATTCAAAAACCCCAAGGGTTATCAGAAGACCAGCGATATTCTCATCGTGACCACTTAATAACACCATTTTAGCATTGGGTTCTGTTTCATCGATTGCATTCTGCATATTTCCAGTGAAATTCCTCAAAATCATCCCTGAAATGGAGACCAGAAGTCCAACCACAAAAAATTCAATATCACAAATCAATTTATTTCGCTTGTAATAAATCATAAAAGAATAATCTGTTGTAAAAATTTATAAATAATTCTTATGAAGAATTTAAAATTTTTTCATAGAATTTGAGAATAAAATTAATTTATTAAAAATATTTTTTATGGACCTCCATTGAGAGTTTTCAATCTTTGAGTATAACTTTTGATCCTGAGATTCAAAAGCGCGAGCTCCTTGACACCCCCTTCGGGGAAAATCCCCCGGGTCCAGTTCGGTAGGGGCAATTCCATGGAGTACAACGCCGTGAGATAGCTATATAAATTTTCATAGTCTTGTCCGGTAGTGAATGATTTGCCAGTCCACTCTGTGAGATTCTTCAGAAGGTCTTTGTATCGTAATTTCTCTTCTTGAACGTCTAACGAGTTCTCCACCATCTCAAGTTCCTCTTTATACCTCAAAATTAATATAAAAATCTCGTATTTTCTCCAGAAATCAATTGTAATCATTCTAATAATATACTGAATACCTATTATTTATTATAATTTATTATAGTTATTTATCATTATTTCCTCGAGAAATCACGTAATTTTTATAATCAATTTTAATAATATTTTGATAATCATAATTGGAGGTATAATTTTAGATTTTTCAGTCAAAGAATTCGATTGATTTTTATTTATAAATAGGTATTGAGAGTCATTTACTTGGTGCAATTGAAGGGATTCAGTAGTGGATCCGGTGATGTTTCATAATTCACAACAACTGGTTGCCAATTTAATTTTGGATTCCACTTCTGATCATTTACTGGAGGAAATATTCCAGCCATCACCAGTTGCAGAGACATTTTAGTTCTGTCAGTGTTTGAACTACGAGCGATTATATGAGGGGGATAATAAAAATCTCCCAGAAATTGATCGTATTGATTGCGAATGTGAATGCCGAGTTCGTATGCGCGTTTTCTCCCTTTCTGGGAGAAAAATTTATTTGAAAAATAATTGACAACGGAAGCTTTTGGTATTTACATTATTACATATACATATTTACATTCGTCAGCTGGGATGGACCGTACGGTGGAAAATTAGATGTCAGATATGGACTCGTGGGGAAAGTCTCTCCGTCGGCTGTTAGAGGTGCTCTATCTCCATGACGAAACACCTGGGGATGAGAAATGCTCAACTACAATAAGTGAAAATTTTCAATGCCAGTTTTTTATGTCAGATTATGTTATTGTTATTATTATTATTCGCTATCGCAGAGGGATAGCGATATTCTTTATATTACCTTTTCTAACGAGAAAGATGAGATTTACAAAAAAGGTCATTACAAAAATATCGATTTTTTCGTTCAATCTCGAGATATCACAGGAAAGCTGGCAGGGTAATGCTCTCCAAAAAATATGTCATTATCTCAGTTTAAATAATAAACGAAATTAATCATAATTTTAGTAATTAGTGATGATTATTACTCACGATATTGACCAGTCTCAGTTGCTGTCCAAGTCCTCCAATCAAAACCGAAGAAACAATTACTAAAAATCGATATATTCTTGTCGTCAACATAATAATCTATTTTAAAAAACTCGTGTTTTTTACTTTATTTCAAATTGTTGTAACTATTCAGCGTAAATATAAACACTGGCACTCGCAAGAAAACTCATTGCAAGTTACTTATTCACGAGTTTGTGCATTGAAAAAAAGGCAATTTATTTTCGACCGTTGATAAGGAAATAATGAGATTGTTGATACTGCCAAAGGTGTTTGTCACGTTGACCACATATTTTCTATTTCTATTGGGCATTTTACAAATATTGAAATGGAAAATTATCTTCAAACTACATTATGAGAAGTTTCAAACTTAAACAAAAAGACAAAAAGAATAAAGAATAATAATTATAAAAATTATAATTCGGCTCACCGCCTGTGACACTTGCCAGTCCATGCTTTCTTTTACTAAAGGATAACACAATGAATGAAGAACAAGAGCATAATTCATTTGGGAATCATTTTTCAAATTTTAATCAATTTAGAGTATAGAATTTTGCATGCGATATTTACAATTCTTAAATAGATGGTGAAAAAAAAAAAAAAAAAAAAACTTACGACCGCCTATGGACAATGATAAATGACAAATTGACGGTTTCATGAAATTTTTTGAAGGCTCGATTATCAGTTTGTAAATATATCACAATTGTTAAATTTAATTTTTTCTCATTTGAAGAATAAATTTATGAGTAGTTCTTAGCTAGAGCTACTTTTCTAAATTTTTGGGATGCTTCACTTTTCACATGACCGAATTCAAATCTCAACCTAAGTTCTCCAATTTTTGAAATCGGAAGAATATCGGGTATCCATTCAATCAAAAAAGGTGTGGGTTCTAGTTGATTTGGACAAGTATTTCCTGTAAATGAAATGATAGAATAGTTTTAGTTTTGATTTATTTTTTGAATAAATTAATAATTCAAAGTACTGACCAACTTTCAAATAGGTTTTCAACTCAAGTGGTTTGATAAGGGCATTGTTTCCACTTTTCTTGTATCGATCAATATCTGATTCCTCTCGCTTATATAATTCATATGTACCATCAGAATTTTGTAAGAAACTGCGGGTTATTTCTAGGGGTATCATCGGTGTATCAAAAATACTCTTGATGTGAAGAATATTGGTAATTTGCCATGTGTATTTGGTGAAAGTTCCCAGGGGTACACCGTCTTTTCTAATAAACGCCGTAGTAGAGTTTGGTAGTCGTTTCTTCTTACCTCCACATGATATTCGTTCTCGAAGACAGTCGAAAAATATCTGTGGTACATGGAAGACAAGTGGTTCGGGTTTTCCATCAAATTGAAAATGCATTGTTTGATTGATTCTTTCAGTTATTGATCCTAACCACTTGATAAATGACAAATTGGCGTTGCTCTCATCCAAATTGTCGCCCGAATTTTGATATTTTTTAATAATTGTTGTTTTTGTCTTGCCTTTTCTTGTTTCAATTGAATTCAAATTGTTGATACTCAAATTATTAGGCAATAATATTTCATCTCGCTTTCTCTTAGTGGAAGAAGGTTGAATAGTGTTCATCATTTGCATTGTCATAGCCACTCCAGATTCATAATTCATAATAGCGGTATTGTTAATTATTTGGACACTGCTGTCAAGCATTGTACTTTCACTATTCAATAATTTTACATTTTTCTCATTGAAATTTCCTTGTTTATCTAATATACCAATTGATCCAGCGTTCCACAGTTTAAATGTTTGGTTATCTTCCAGATAATCCCTATTACTTGATTCATTGTATTTTGTCGATCCATCTTGGAGATTTTTCACCGAGCTAATATTAATTATTCTACTCTGATCAATAATTTCATTATCATCAACATGGGTAATTATGCTGTTTCCAGTGTTGAGAAATGCCGGCGCGCAATCCACATCAATTCCATCGACAATATTATTGGGCAGAATTGTTGCATCAAGATTTATCGAGTCAATGTCCAATCTACTTCCATCTAAATTCTGCACTGTCAAAGTATCATCGCGGAATATAAGAAAGTGGGTATCATCACTCAGACCCTCTATATCTGTAATTAAATTTATTACCTATAAACAATCATATAAAATTGAATATTTTTTTTGTTGAGACCTATGTGAAAAATTTTACCCATTCCAATGATTTTATCTGTTTCGGACGGTTGAAAAGGTACACTGAGACTCTTCTCTGATCTCAATTCCATCTGATCTAGATTAATGTAATACCTAAATTCATCTGATAATTTTGGATCGCTCGCAAAGGCACAAATACAGGCGTAAAAATGAGCACAGCGTCGTGCCTGTCCAGGCAAATCCCCCTCCCCCTTTGCCTCTATTACTTTGGGGGCTGCCTGGAAAAACAAGGAGAAAGCCAAAAAATAAATGGAAAATTTATCATGATAGAATAGGTGATTGATGATAACGATGATCCTTTTACCTTTAAACCGGTGCATGTGCAAAAGTATCTGTGCTCTATTTTCTCCCTAAATTTGATGGTATAAAATGAAAAATGTAAATAACCAAGGGGATGTTTAGGTGATGCTTTACATTTGACGGCCATAATTGTTTTTGAGACACGCTGGACTAGAGGCCCGGAGGTTTCAGTGGCTAGTAGCCAAATTTCCTGTTTCATCTCATTATTAACATTTAGCGATGATAGAACTGAATTTCTCAGTGTGAGAGGTTGAGCCTCAGCATAACATCTGAGAGCTGCTTGAATATGCTGACAAGTGGGAACACTGCTATTGGATGAATTTTTTTCATGGCATTTCAAAACACTAGTGTCAAAACTCCTTTCGCAGCTATCGGCGAAGCATAGGGCGGTGCTTTGACAAATAAGAGTGTTCATCTCATTGGCCGCTGTAGCATTAATAATGGGCAGTTGGACAAAACCTCTATCATCAGGACCTTTGTCGCGCACTCGTACTGAAAAAACCTGAACCGCTGATCCAGTTATAAGTTTACATGCTTCCGTTGATAATTTTCTTTTTTCACCAGGCTCTTTAAATACTGCATCGCAATATTTATTTTTACAACAAAGTCCACGTGAACCATTGTAGGTGCCACATTTTGGACATTTTTTAACACCTCGAAGGGTCGCTTTTCCCAGGTCAGCTAGGAGAGAACGGAGACGCTCTTCATTTGCCATGACACCTCCACTCAATTAATCAAACAAATAATTATATGTATGTATGTATGTATGTATGTAGCTAGCTGGAACTGGCTGGAACATCACATTGCATTAGTTTAGTAAAAATATAGGTTATAACCATAACCAGTAAGGAAAATGACATATTTATAATAGCTATTACCTTTTAACACTCGCTAAACACAGATGAAGTGGAAAATTCTTGTGAATACCGCACTCAGTTATATTATGTATATTTTTCATGTCATTATTGTCATTATGGCATTTATAATGTTTTTTTTTCGACTGTCTACACTATACAAACATAGTGTATGCATGTGAATCACTACTGCTGGGGAGGAATTCTGCGCGTTTTATGTTAACATAAAATCTCATTATTTCGCTCCCGTCAGGTGGAGCGCAGGCAATGGGGGTGTCTGCCCGTCAGCCCGACTCGGTAACTAACAGTAATTCCCGCCAAAATTCGGCTGGATGCGTTCAGTCCTTTGGTTCGCGTCCAGTGACCAGTCGGCCTTATTATTAACGCGTGTCTCGCTGTTGCGGTTAGACTGTCCGTTATTACATCTAATTTGACTTTTAAGTGTGAATAAACAATCATGAATGACTTTGATCAGCCCCAGATTTTTTTCTCGGATAATTTCTCGACAGATGAAACCCGAGAGGATCAATTGAAACTCCAATCATTCAAGAAAAAGTATAAAGAATTTATTAGGCAGTTTCACGAGGGTAATTTCAACTACAAGTATCGAGATACCCTCAAACGTAATTACAATCTCGGTCAGTATTGGTTGGCGATAAATCTTGAGGATTTAGCCGCTTTTGATGAGAGTTTGGCGGAGAAAATTCATAAACAACCGACCGAGTATTTGCCAGTATTTGAAGATGCTGCTAAAGATGTTGCTGATGAATTGACCGCCCCAAGACCTAGTGGTGAGGAAAAAATAGAGGACATTCAAATTCTTGTGTCATCAGATGGACATGCATCAGCGCTCCGCTGTCTCAAGGTATATACAATAAAATTTTTCAATTTTTTTTTCAAATTCAAGGACCATTATGAATAATTATTTATTTCTTTTTCTTTTCCCATCCATATGGTAGCCCGATATTGTCTCGAAGCTTGTCAAGATTCCAGGAATAATAGTTGCTGCTTCAGGAATCAGATCAAAGGCAACAAAAATCGCCATTCAATGCAGGTCATGTCGAACTATTCAAAACAACATTCCAATTAAGCCAGGATTAGAGGGGTACGCTTTACCTCGACAATGCTCAACGTAAGTTATTGTAAATCAATAATCAATAATAAATTCAATAAATTAATTTGCCGTGATTATGTGAAAAAATGAAAAATTTGTAGGGAGCAAGCTGGACGACCCAAATGTCCTCTAGATCCTTTCTTTGTGATGCCAGATCAGTGTGAGTGTGTAGACTTTCAAGTTCTCAAACTTCAGGAACTCCCAGATGAAATTCCTCAGGGTGAAATGCCAAGACACTTGCAATTGTACTGTGATCGTTATTTGTGCGATCGTGTTGTACCAGGAAATCGAGTGCTCATTCTCGGTATTTATTCGATAAAAAAAGTATCTGGCTCAGCAAGACGGGGGGGCAAAGATAAGGCATTAGTTGGAGTACGGGCCCCCTACATCAGGGTAATTGGTATTTCTGTCGATGGAGATGATGGTAGTGATAGTGGCAGTGGCAGTGGCAGTGGCAGTACACATCCACCATTGACTAAAGAGGATGAGGATGCCTTGAGGCGTTTAGCTGCACAACCAGATGTTTATGATAAAATAGCGAGAAGCATTGCTCCAAGTATTTTTGGTGCTCTAGATATAAAGAAAGCCATTGCTTGTTTATTATTTGGAGGCTCGCGTAAAAGAATGCCCGATGGTTTATGTAGAAGAGGTGATATTAATGTTCTCCTTCTTGGTGATCCAGGAACGGCAAAGTCTCAACTTCTTAAATTTGTTGAGCGAGTAGCACCCATTGGAATTTATACATCTGGAAAAGGAAGTTCAGCTGCTGGTTTAACAGCTTCTGTAATGCGTGATCCAATCAGTCGTAATTTCGTAATGGAGGGTGGAGCAATGGTGCTAGCTGATGGTGGAATTGTTTGCATCGATGAATTTGATAAAATGAAAGAAGATGACAGAGTGGCAATTCACGAAGCCATGGAGCAACAGACAATATCCATTGCTAAAGCTGGTATTACCACAACATTGAATACCAGATGTTCAGTATTGGCCGCTGCCAATTCCATATTTGGACGATGGGATGACATTAAGGGAGATGAAAATATCGATTTTATGCCAACTATTCTTTCTCGTTTTGACATGATTTTTATCGTTAAAGATGAACACGAGCAAAATCGAGATGTTACGTTGGCTAAGCATGTTATGGGATTACACGCTAATGCTGGACAACTCACTGAACAATTATCCGAGGGGGAATTATCATTGAATCTTCTGAAAAAATATATTCACTACTGTAGAACTCGATGTGGTCCAAGATTGGATAAAGAAGCCGGAGAAAAATTGAAAAATCGTTATGTTATAATGCGTGCTGGTACTCAAGTACATGAAAAGGATTCGGAGAAGAGAATGTCTATTCCTATAACCGTAAGACAATTAGAGGCCGTTATTAGGATATCTGAAGCACTAGCTAAAATGCATTTGGAGCCTTTCGCCACTCAAGTACATGTTGATGAAGCCCTCAGGCTCTTTCAAGTATCTACACTTGATGCTGCCATGACTGGATCTCTTGCAGGAGCGGAGGGATTCACCTCTGAAGAGGATCACGAGATTCTTGCACAAATTGAAAGACAATTGAAACGTAGATTTGCTGTAGGTACTCAAGTTGCAGAACAAAACATTGTCAATGATTTTATCAAACAAAAATATCCAGAGAGATCAATCTGCAAAGTTATTTATACTATGATTCGTCGAGGTGAGCTGCAACACCGGATGCAAAGAAAAATGCTCTACAGGCTTACTTGAAAGATGAGTGTTCCTTTATTTTTCTTTTAATCGTTAATTATTTTATTCAACACATGTTGTTCGCCAATTAATCAAATGCTACATCATTCTCATAACCTATCTATATATCAAGTACTTGAATTTCCAATTATCTCTGTAGCTGTATCGTATTTTTTTATTTTCATTCATTTTTTCATTTCATTTGTCAATAAATATTTTTCTACCAATCAAATTAATTCATCTCTGAATGGATATAACGGGTGCCTCTCCACACTAAACACAAAGAGAATGACAATTATTAAAAAATCTCTCCCAATTCTCATATCACAATAGAATAAATATTTCTTATTTACCCTTTAAAAAACAAAAAGGTAAAAATTCGCCCCTCAGCACCACGATCTAGCTCGTCTAATTCTGCCAATTCATCTGAACTTAATTGAAAATCATATATATTATTGTTAAGTGCAATTCTTTGGGGCGAGGCACTCTTGGGAATAACAACAATATTCTCTTGCACCAGCTGCCTTAGTAAAACTTGGGCAGTTGTTTTATTATGGGCTTTGGCGATTCTGTCAACAATCGGGTGTCCCAGAAGATCCGGAAATCTCTTGGTATTATAATTGTATTTTGTTTGAAAATGGTGTTTCGCACCTGGAGATGCTAAAGGACTGTATGCCGTTACCACAATATTGTGACTAGCGCAGAATTTTCTTAGAGATTTCTGTTGATGGTATGCATGTAGTTCCACCTTTGCATTCATAAAAGGAAAAATTATTATCGCCACTTGTCAATAAAATGACCATTTATCTAATACAATTAAAACATAAATATAGGTATTACTTGGAGATTGCTCGGTTTTATCTCGGAATTATTCCATATTTCATCAATTTGCTTTTCATTAAAATTACTGAGTCCAATAGATCGAACTTTGCCTGTCTTAACTTGTCCTTCCATTTCCTTGAATGAATAAAGGAAAAGTCCTAAAGTCCAAAAAGAGGATGTAAAATTTTTTCATGATTATATATTACCTTCCAAACAGAAACAGGATTGCTCTCAAAATCAAGTTTATATGAACCATCTTCGTTAAGTCGAGGTGCGCATCTGCTATCATCACTGATGAAGGCAAAGGGCATATGAATCAAATACATATCGACGTAGTCCAATTTCAATTTTTCCAATGACCAATTCAAATACTTTTCAACGTCTGATGCTCTGTTACCATAATGGGGTAACTGAAAAATTATTACAAACTCTTGGATTAAAAATTAACAAGGCATTAACAAGCAATTAACAAGGCTGCCATCACCTTCGTTGTAATGAACAACTCTTCTCTATTTCCCCCATTATTCAACCATGTCTTTAAACTCTTCCCAATAGCATCTTCATTATTATAATTGAATGCAGTATCAATATGCCGATAGCCATTGTCGAGTGCAGTTGCAACAGCTATTTCTATTTCTTCAGGTTTTGCCTAGAATTGTCAACAATTGTCAACAATTTGTTTGGATTTTTTTCTCTATTTTTAATATTATTTCAATTACTATAATGATTCAATTGGTGATGTAATTATCTGATATTACCTGCCAAGTGCCAAGGCCCATTGTTGGCATTTGATACCCCGATGACAATTTCACAAATTTCAGAGATTTCATAGTGAAAAATCTTAACCCTTTTTATTATTCACTGAGATTTATGTGTACACAAGTGAATTTCGGTCTTGGCTGCAATTTGCTTACCTAAAATTACGAAATCACTTTATTTTTGGATTAGTCACTCGCACTGTCTCGTATTCATTCCTTGTGCAATTTGAAAAATTATGCAATGCAATGCACCCTCTCTGGAGTGTAAAAGAAAAAAAAATTCATTCAATTTAAGACAAATAGGGTGTTCATGTATAAATCGTGCAAAACAAGTGGATGAAATATATGGAATTAACGCGCTTATGATTATTCATTAAGTGAAGGTTGATTTTTTGAAAGATTGCATATTTTATTAGAATTTTTATATTTCAAACCGTATTTAAAGACTTTTCAATTTTTTAACAAAGTAATGTTAGTAAAAAAAGGAAAGGGGAAAGAGTTTGTCTCTCTGGATAATAACATATTAGGGACTATATACATACGGCACTACTCGGGCGCTTACACACGGTGAACGATGAAAGGAATTTTTGTCTTATATCTATGGGATCGATGTATAGATTTCGATAAAAATAACATTTATTCGTATAATAGCAAATAATTTTAACGACTAATTTTCAGTGTGACAATATAAAAATCACTTGTTATGTAAATTAGTATAAATAATTATTTTCAATTTTAAATCAATATGACATGTCTGCATATAAAAAATAATTGATTTGATTGATTTGATTGATTTGTTTTCTCTGATACTAAAAACAATTGACATCGATGAAACTTTCATATGTATGTTGTATGCATGGGGAATTTTGTTATTTGCAATTGATTCAATACAATGGCAATAGAATCGTGAAGTTAGAGGCCAAGCTAGGTTATGGACAGGACAGGTGTTTAAAGATGAAATTTCATTGGTATAAACATTTTCTTTTATATATATATATATATATCTTTCGACTAACTTCAAATTTATAAATTTTCCAGTAGTTATTATTATAATGGTAATTATTTATGAACAGAAAGAAAATGCAGCGGGAGGCGAAAGGGATTAATAAGGCACAGGAAGGAGTTAGCTAGCATATACAATAATTGGATATTTAACTAATTACACCCACGAATTGTGGGTAAATGATCAAAGTTTTGATGTATAGAAGAACTCTTAGGACGGTCGTGTTGATTGTGAATTCCACCCCCCTTGGAAGTAAGTTGTGGGAGTACCATAGTATTGAATGTTGTAGCATTTGAGTTCTGAAATTAATGAGAATATAAATAATCGTCTACGTCAGATGAAATATTATAGAATTTCAATTTGAGAATTTGAAAAATTACCCTAGGCCGACTATCTCTATATTTTTTCAACTTTTCAAATTGCTGCATCTCCTGACCATTTGGAAATCTAAAACTATAATTTTCAAAGTAAATGTGTTGCAATAATTGATCGCATGTCCAGCGTTGTTCAGGATCTTTATCAACGCATTTTCTGAGAAAGTCAATATGTATTGGAGTACTAGGTGTAACGGGCAAAGTTGTTTCGAGTGGCGTCAATGTTTGAGGAGTGGGTAATGTAACACCAGCGAAAAATTCGTTTTGTTGAAATATTGTCATATGACGAGGTAGAAGATCACCGAGTGTTCTCCGAATCAAGTACAATTGATCTACGTCAGACTTTCCTGGCCACAAAGCCTCGCCTCTGATCAGCTCAGCGAAAACACATCCAATTGCCCAAACATCAACTGGTGTTCCATACTGGGTATCACCCACCTGAATAGTTACATAGGTTAAATTAATTTATCCATCCACACTTTTCAATTATATGATCTATTATTATATTATTATATATTATTATATATTATTATACCAATAATTTACCAACAATTCTGGTGCCCTATACCATCTGGTAGCCACATATTCAGTATAATTCTCACCGGGACTCAGCATCCGTGCAAAACCAAAATCACACAGCTTGACAACACCGTCTGCAGTAATAAGAATATTTTCGGGTTTCACATCCCGATGAACACATCCCAATCTATGACAATATGCCACTCCTTGGAGAATTTGCCAACTCAATTGTCGTATTAGATGCTCCGGACAACCGTGGGGATATTTTTCCATTTCATTGAGAAGAGTGTGCTCGCAATATTCAAATACTAAATGCAATTTCCTTTTTTTCCGAAAGACCTCTAGTAAATTCACCAGATTGGGATGTTTTAAATTCTGAAAGTAATAAAAGCTCAAGATATATAAGCACAAGATATACCTTTCAACAATAATATAACAATTGTATCAATTTGTTTCTCCCTTTCGTTCACTATGACAAGGTCACCATATATTCATGAGAATTGATTGTAAGCGATTGGGAAGCGATTCCTTTCGGATAAGCAATCCTCAACATGTCGGCTACACGCTACACATATTGACCGGTACCGGTATATTGACCAACGGCCATCACTCTCTCGGTTCTGTATGAGTAATATGTGAAAGGAACGCATACGGAATCATTTCACTTCATCAATTATTTTTCCAATTATTATTAAAGATTTTTTTTTTTTACATGACTTTTTAACATTTCCATACTTATACCTTGAGTAAACGAATTTCTCGAAGGGCAATTTTGCGAATGAGTGGATCGTCTTCTGTCTGTAGAAATTTTTTAACTGCTACTAATTTTCCTGTCTGCCTGTCTCGGCATTGAAAAACAACCCCATAGCTGCCCTCTCCAAGCCGTGCCAATCTTTCATATCTTTCCATTGTTTTACTCGGTGCGCCAGATCTGATAACATCAAGTTTATAATATTTTTTTTTTAATTATTTGCTCAATGCCATTGCTTTTAAAATAATATTAAAAATGGAAAATAATAATATTATTCAAAGGAAAGCTTTTGAATACCGACTTCTTATGCCTCCCTAGGCAGGGCAATGCAAACTGCTGCGCAAATAGCATGTCACACAGTTGGAGACTGACTAGCCTTGTTCTCGCCATTGACCAGGGGTCAAACCCCTTATGGGCTTATACCTCGAGTACATGATGTACTCCAAATACCTACACTGACCAAGCACGCGCGCGCGCTCGCGCTATCCCAATTTGGCTTACAATTATTTATTATTTAGAAAACTCCCCACTCTCCCAAATTTTTAATACATTTCAATTGCCGCAATATGAAAATAAAATTAAATTTCCATATATTATACGCCAACTTACAGCATCTCCAGCATAAAATTCATGGTCGCGATCTTCTAAACTTCTGCACTCCTCCAATGCTCACTCAACGGTATATCAAGTAATACTGATAAACACGCCTGTACAGCTCGCATCACAGCATATGCTCTACACACGGCTTTACATACCTTTCATAACTAAACCATGTGTACAATAATGTTGTTTTTAAAATCGATAGTAATGTAAAGGCAAAAGCTGATATGACCATCAAGGTCCTAATCAATGGCCTGGCTCATGTTAGACTAGACATTGAATTAATTTTTACTTTTTTCAACTGGCTATGGTGGGATTTGCGATTTAACCATCATTGATGAGAAACACATGACAAAAAAAAAACATTCACAACACTATGACAGAATAAAATGTTTTCTAATGAGGAGGATATTGCTAATGAACACAGACCTTCTTGGCAGTAGCGGTAGTGTACTTCCAAAGAGCCAGAGCTTTCTATCTTGGAGCCATTTGTCCATGCGAAGGCTATTTTACCCCAATTAATTATGAATGTATTATGAATTCATACCAATATATGATCCAATGAGTCTATAATATATATGACTATAAACAGCATTATTTATCAGAATATTAAAAAAAAAAAAAAAGAAAACAGGTTAGCCTTCTTTTAAAAATTGCAATATTGCTGTTTATTATACCAAGAGCCAACTAACATGACTAAAATGGGTCTCTTATCGTTTCGCTGACTATGCATCTCAGAAAACAACTACGTCACGCAGGATCGATAGCTGGTGGGAAAAAAAAAAAAAAAAAAAAACATACCTGTACGGCAACTATAAGTATCAAATACATATACCTATGTTAAATAATAAAAAATAAAATTATACACTCGGACACTTGGAGCCGTTGAAGATATGTCAATGTACACAAATTATAAATTATTATTGTACATGTACATTCAATTATTCGTCATTATTATTACTATGCATAAGGAAAAAAAATGACAGTGTAACATAATGGTCTTCTCTACATATTTATTCAATATTTTTTTCATTACAATGAAACACAAAGATATATTTTCACCAATTAATATATAACGAACAATTATATCTGATGCCAAATCTCTACACAAGTGTAGGAGGACCTTGAACCACTTGTGCTTGCATGACAATTTTTTACATACGTATAATCATAATAATTAAGTTAATTGAATAGATGGCAAGGCATTTTAGTCAAAGTTATGGCAGTATTTATCCGCTTTTAGTATTTCTATGTGCGTTATGTGGAGTATCGAGTACATCATTACCATTTTGTGCTTCACCTTTAACGGTAAATGTGATGAAGTAGCGCTTTGTGCGATCCAGTTTCTCCGCTGGCAATGCAATCACCTGTTTCGCTTCACCCTTGCTAACTTCAACCTAGTTTTTCAATGAGAAAAAAAGTTAAGGACAATCATGAAAATAGTTTTTCTTCATCCTTATTCCTTCAATTAACATAGATCTACCGTCATTCGACCCTTCCCCCGAGTCTCTATCCTCGGAAGAATAGTGCTTCCCTCTCGTTCTTGGTCTCCTCCATCCACTGCAATTATAATCTACCATCAAACTACGCAGGCCAGTTCTAATAAGGGATAAACATTTCTTCCACTACCTCCATTGCAATAATTAATCGTTTTAGTGCATTATAATTTTTTTTAATCCGATAATCATACTTACGATATGTATACATCGGTAGAGATGTGTAAGCACTAGTAGCATGATGACAACGATGTGTTTTTTGAGTACATTGCTTAGCTTCAGTACACCAATCTGGCGTTGCTGGTCTTCTCTGCAAACGTCGCAATTGTTCATATAGATATCCTTCAAAATCTCTGAATGTCAATGGCTGATTATATCGAGCTACTCCCAGAATTGGACCAGACATTCCAGATTTATGGAAATTGTCCACCTGTCGTTTTATTAAAATATGTTCATTGGCCCTTCCATGTTGGATTTGGAGTCTTTTCAATTCCATAAGTTGAAAGAATATTTTTCTTTCAAGATGATATCGCCGTAAATTAATCTGAACATCCCGTTGAATTGTTTTCATATTTAATGTACGCTGTTTTTCACTATTGGGATAGCGTTTTAGAGTTGGTTTTGGAATCTTTGAAACACGGGGACTCGGTTCAATACCACTATCCCGTCCTCCACTATCTCGACGCTGTTTTCTATCTCTACTCAATCGTTTAGGACTCATTGCGCCTATTCTTCTTTCCACATGAGACACTACATCTAATTTACATTTTTTCAACCTAGCTTTTATTGACTCTCTCGGTGTTTCTTCTTCACTTGTACTTGGTAAAACTCTCAAAACTGCTAAATCATCGTCTTCATTGTTATTTTCCAATTCAGTCTCAACTTCATCATTATTTTCAACTACATTTTGAATTTCTTTGGCAACTTGTTCGTCTTCTTCGTCCCACTCGGGACTATCAATAACTGCAACAATTGCACTGCGGTCAGGTGAAAGCTCTTTGGCGGTTTTATTGAGAGTGTTGCTTTTAGCCGTGGAAGGTGGTGAATCAATTAACCTATTCATATTTTTGGATGGGGTCGATCGTTTGTCAATCGTTTGACATACCTCATCTTTCCCACTGACTTCAACAGTAAGTTCTTCATAATCAACTTGATCTCGTTCATTTTTTTTCTTACCATCATTATTTTCATTAAATATTTTGTGAATATTTTCTTCTGAATTGCTTGTTGCCTTTGGCGATGTGACACTTGATGAGTTGTCAATACATATTGATTGATTTTCCCCTACAATATTGTTAAATTTAGTTGAAGAGGTCAGGACTTGAACAGGATGTTCATTAACCATTGAATTATCATCATGCTTATCGCTGCCCAGAGATGATTCTTCGCTGGTGGCATTGTCCTCCGCTGGATGATTCTGTAAAAATTCTTGTGGGGAGTCTGGTGGATAGCTCACAATATCATCCGTCCCTCCCTCTTCCCTACCTTTTAACGGGGAATCATCTTTGCTATTTTCACTCAATAGGCTCTCTTCATTAACTTGTCGCCGAATATCTTCAACGTCTCTCTTCATATCTGCTACTTTTGTCATCAGCGCATTCTGCATCTCATCCGCTTTCTCCAAGATATAATTCATATTCACTGTATTTTCGCTTATCACAGAGTCTTGTGTATCTTTTTGAATTTTACTATGAGTACCAATTATTGGAGTATCCGGTGATTGATCTTTATGAACTATTGCCGTTACGGTCACACGTTCGACAGTTTCCTGACTTGTGCTATCCATTACATCTTTCTTCATTTTTTTATCAAATTCCCTTGCCGATTGTTTCATAGAAGAGTCTGAATTTTTTATCTCCCCTTCATCTAGATCATTTATGGTTGTTCTTCTTATATCTTTATCGCTGGGTCTTGATTTCAATTTATCACTTTTACATTTTATTCGTGAACGTCGACTTTCACTTTCTTTAACTCTTGTTTCTCGGCATTTTCCTCGTGGTTTTTTTAATTTTCCATCAGAGTATTCGACTCTTTCCAATTTCTTTTCCACTGATTTTTTAACAACAATAACTTCTAAACTATCATCGCTGAGACTTGGTTCCCCTGACAAACTACTGATCCGTTTTGTCCGAGAAGTTTGTCTATCACGATCTGCATCGTCAGAGCTTTGATCATCAGTTGATGATTCACTGTATTCATGCTGTGAGTACTTTTTTCTGCATGTGGTTTCTACACTGATTGAACCCCCCTCATATCTGGATGACTCGCTCTTGGCGCGTCTGCGTCGTTCACGGCACGAGTCTTTTGAAAATCGTACCTCTTCCTCACTAAAGCTCCTACTACCTCGACGTTGTTCATGTTTTTTTGGTGTACTATTATGTTTACGAGTTCGCTTTTTAATCCAACGTTCCTCAATATACACATTGGCTGCTTGATCATGATGATGATGATGATGATGATGATTATTATTATTATTATTATTATTATTATTATTATTATGATTACGACTAGAGTCGCTGTCGCTGAGAGAACTCGAATTAGCTCGTTCAATTTTAACTTTTGCCGCAAAAACTATTGGAAAAAATAATTCATCACATTTTTTTTTTTCCAATGCACTGATTTAAAATTTAAAATGCAATGAATTTTTAATATATATACCTCTATTTGGTGGCATTCGATGTGTCCAAACGTGATGAGCGGTTATACCACCATGCATTTGAATCAATTTAGCACAATCTCGATGCCCTCTGTACAATGCGGCATCCAGTGCCGTCATTGATCCACTCTTGAGTGTTTGAAAAACGGCATTTGTTCTTGCTCCATGATCTAAAAGTACTTTGCAAATATCCAAGTAACCATGGAGGGCGGCAACGTGCAGAGGCGTTCGTCCATCATTGGTTGCCACATCCAGGGTGCTAGGTTTTTTTTTCGCCAGCCACTGTATCAGTTCAATACGACTTGATAGAACTGCTTCGTGGGCAACGCCAGTTCCTCGAATAGTTCTGGCATGCAGGGAACCCCCGTGCTGAGCAAGAATCTTGAGAGTTTCCAACTGACCTTTTGCAGCTGCACAGAGCGCAGGCCTGAATTATCATTATTATTATTATAATCATCATTATTGTATGAGAGAAAGGAAACAATGATATTAATATAATATATTTGATTGAATTTAACGAATTAATTTACGTTCTGCCCTTGCGATCTTGTCGATTTGGATTAGCTCCGAGGCGTAAAAGGAGTGCAGTTGCATCGGCATGACCAAGTGTTGCGGCATAGTGGAGTGCAGAACAGCCATTATCATCAACATGATCTGGTTGTGAACCACAAAGATTTACCAATGCCTCGACGCATCTAGCATGACCACGTGATGCAGCACAATGGAGAGCAGTAAGACCATCTTTGTCAGTGGCACCGGCGGCTGCTGAACCTCCAGCTCTGTTATGCACATTCCAATAATTTTTATCGTAAACAACCTTTGCAATTTTAAATTCAATGAACATTACCTTACAAGGGCTAAAACAGCTTCAACACTACCAGCACTCGCTGCCCACAAAATCGGCTGACGGCCATCTTCATCCTTAGCATTGACATCAGCTCCGAATTCCAATAAAGTATGCAATACATTCAAACCCACTTTTTTAGGTACAGATAGCTCTGCGGTAACTGCAGCACCACAACATTGTGCTGCGTAATGAAGTGGTGAACCTCCTCGTAAATCTGGCGTTGATGGCCTTGCGCCTGCCGCTAATACTAAACGTACACACTCAGCCTCTCCACATACTGCAACGTTTATTCACCACCAACAAATAATTATATAATTTTAGATTTTTCAAGTAGTAAGTTAAATTTTATGAGTATACATGGTGAATTAGATGGTGAATTATCCCTCACCCAGTATAGTTTGATAAAATCGAGGTCTCGCGTGATATATCAAATGCTAATAAAGTCAACATATCCGTGTACGAGCTGACCCACTGACCCCAAATGACAACTCAAATTGGAATATATATTTCTTCATTCCTTCATTTATATTAAACCTTATCTTTACCAATCACTCTATTCATTTGATTTATCTCGATTATATACATCTATGTATTATTTAGCTGTTAAATATGTAGATTCAATAGAATTATCGTTTGACACAAGCTACTTTACCCGTTGCCCAATGTAAAACACTATGTCCCTCAAGATCATTGGCATTGACATCGGCACCATTGGCAAGTAATACAGCAACCAGCTGCGTGTCCCCAGCAATGACTGCCAAATGAAGTGGTGAATGTCCTTCGGCATCTGGTGCATTAACAAGTTGTGGTGCTGCGGAAGCAACAGCACCACAAGTACTTGCATCCATGCAGTAATGCAGTGCGTTTCTCAGAGTTCGATCACGATAATGCACGGTATCCTCTTGTTCTTTGAGGAGTCTAAGTACTCGGGATCTATCACCCTGCTGGCAAGCGTGCATCAGTGGTGTTGCACCAATATGGAGTACTCTGAAAAATTTATTATATTTATTATATTTTTCATCACTTATTGAAATATCATCATATCATCAATTATTCAATCTATACCTGTGTAGTTTTTTCGATTTATCGTCTGAATTTTTAGTCATATACAGTCCACCATTCGTCCACTGTGAATCCAAATTCTTCACCTGCTAAAAAAATGAAAATTCAAGCTATGGTGAAATACTTTTGACAAATGGAAATGAGATACGAGATCTCATACCTTTTTTTCACCATTTACTTTTTTACGTGTAGCATTCAAGGGCTGTGTTAGAGGTGGTAAAGACAAATCTTCAGTAATCGGCTCTTGTTTTGTATAGTGTCTTTTCTCCTGATACTTCAACGGTATCAGTGGTGTCTTTGTATCCATTCCACTGTCAGTGACACCTCATCAAACTGCCTCAGGGTGAGTTCCTTGTCATACATTGGCATTGCCCATGCATTCTAATTTTTTTTACCACATGCTTCAATTCTCCCATTAATTTTATGAAAAATATTCCCTTTCGCCTTTAATTCAATCAACTAGAAAAAATTCAATGGCTAAACCTATTATCAAATTAGTATTTCAAAATCTCGCCCATTCGAAATTTAAAATCTCTACTCGTACTCAAAACATTTCGCCTATGAGGAGATGATCGAATCTAATGGTATTGGTTACTGACCACGTGGCTATAGATTGACCAGGTCACTGAGATACTATGGCAACCACTGGGTCACAACAACTGGCTAACGATTTAAATTAAAAAAAAAAAAAAAAAAAAAAACCCCTATCCTAATAGCCGAGAGCACGACAAGGTCAACACATGAAGTATTAACATTCCCACTAATGGCATTAATTTATTGTTTCTCTTTTCGCGCTCAATTTAAAAAATATTCTTCTTCCTCTTTCAAATAGAAAAGTGAAAGTGATTTTTTATAGTACAGTTTAGATATATTACATTGAGGAATCAAAAAATGGAAATAGAAAAGAATAATTGACATTTACTTTTAATTTTTATATTATTTCTCATTGTTATAGAAGTGAAAAAAATTCTTGTTCGTGATGGGTGCTTCACACGAATAGATTTATCAACGATTATTCATGTTAGACGTTTGTATTATGTACTTGGAGTATATATAGCTACTATATATAATAACGCTTGGAGAATCCACGTGCACGTGTTTGCAAAGCGTTACAATCTGACCCGCGATGACTGAAAATCGTTATTCTCAATATTTCGCCATTGAGTAGTCCTGCGAATCATTTGAATGGCCCGGTTATTATTTCATGTTTTATAAGTAGCTGATTACTTTATATTATATAATAATTCATTGAATAAATATGAGCGCTATTATTTTAACACCGAAAACAAGTTTTTCAATATACTCACAGAGATAAGGATCCATCAGCCGTCATGCGACTCATTGTATATGTAAAAATGATTTTTTCATATTTTCCTCTCGACTTGTTAACTGACTATTGGCTCTATGTCTCAAAACTGGATATTGTTTATTTATTAAATTGAATTATTCTCGGCAAAAAAATTGCAATCTTGTAGAATGAATTTATTTTTAAAGTAGAATGAAACAAAGTGAACCGGTGTCCAAAGAGAAATGGGGAATAGGTGCAACACGCGTTATTCCTAAGACCGCGCCGCAGTCAATTTCAATGCTAGGTTGCTATTGGAGACCTAATCCCTTGATTGTTACTGGTAGCCACCGGCTATACAACACAATGTGCGCCCACCCTCTTCTATGCCATATCACCTATCACCTGTACATAAATCATATAAAAACAAATTTTACATGTTTATTGTAAGCTTACTGGCTTTTTCAAGCAATTGTACTGATTAATTTTGTCGAATTTTTGAGTTTTACACATAAAAATGTATGATAGTTAAATTGATAACTGCTTCAAAATTAAGGATGAAACGTACATGAAATGTACATCTCAATTCATCCTGTCCTGCTCTGCTTCTGTTTCAAACATGAACGATAATGGAGTACACGGACATTTATTTCACATTGATAAAATCATCTAATATAAATTATATTATTACCTATATTATATTAGACATGAATTTCAAATACACTTTCATTTGTAATGTCGAGAAGTGATTTACGGTGAGTTTCCAACTGGCGTTGATCTATCAGTTTTGTATATTTCTTGGGTTATTTTCATACTTGATAGCACAGAAAGTAAGAATAATTACAAGTCTGTGTAACAGTGGTCAGTCCCATGTAAAAGCCAGTATTTTAATATTCTTAAATGATCCAACAGTTGACCGAATAAATTCCTCAACGAAATGAAACAGAAAAAAATATGGCTAGTGTCCTCCTCCGTTTTACTGATGGATCATCTCTGTTAAATGGTCCAAACACGCCCTAACACGTTCGCACATTAATTAATGTCTCTATGACAGTCGGACAGTTTTAATAATGAACATAATTAAACTTGGAGAAATCATTTTATGAAATAAGAGCAAACAAAATCAATAACTCAGCTGGACTTGTGCACTTCAGTTCGAGTAATTATACATCACTGAATTCATTTGCTTCATAAATCCAATTAATTTTCTTTTTCTTATTGTAAATTACATTGCTGTATAATATGCATTTTAATTGTAGCAAATGTTTCAGATTGATACAATGAGGCGCTCATTGCTATACAATTATTGCCAACTATCATGGTCATGTTTGTGTAGAAAAGCTATGAGAGATAAATTTACAAGTCTTTTTTCGAAATGCAACAAATGGGATGAAAAAATTAAGAGTTTTGAGGAATAGCTCGCTTCAACATCGTTTGGAATAACAAAACAACTCAAAAATATTATTTATAAAACATATATTATCTTGAAATAAAATACAATGCCAGCTCCTCCACCATCAATGCCACCACCAAGTCCATCGGTAATGTCTGTTTGTAAGAATAATCAAGTTTGTGAATCAGTGAATTTGCCACCTTGGACAAAAATTACTTTGGCATCCTCTGATTCGGAAATTGAAAGATTGATAGCAAGAAACGAACTAAAAGATGCAGAAATTACTTATTTTTGTCATGTGCCGGCAATTTTACAAGATGGGCCACAGTAAGTTCAACTCTTTTTACCATATAATTTATTTCTCTATATTTGTTTATGTCACTGATGTAATGTTTATCAGATGTGGACTTGTTGCCCTTGCCATGGCTTCACAAGAGTATACAAAACCAGTATCTGTTGGACAACTTTTAGCTGAAGCACGAGTTCGAGGATTCACCCAACACGGAGAAGTATACAGTGTTGACTATATGGCAACTCTAGCTGCTGAATATTTACCAGATCATAGACCAGACATTCTAATTGATTTACAAGCATGCCCAGATGCATTGACCCATGCTCTTAGTCACGGTGCCATGGTACTTATTCCGTATGACTCGGATTTCAATCATGCACCTTGTCTGAAAAGGGGACATAAAGCCCACTGGGCACTACTCGTTGGATTAATATCTTCAAGGTACATATTATTTTCCCAACAAATTTCCATATTAATCATGTCCAACAATTTTATAGGATTTTCTCCCTTTATTTTTATTTAGACAAGGATATTATGTCTTATCACGTCACGGCAAATCACGGCATTTGGCTTGTTGGCCACTTCGTGATCTTATTGAAAGTAATGGAAATTTAGAGGAAGAGGGAACAGCGAGACACGCTGGTGGCTATGTTATTCCAAAAGGAGGTGTTGGTGGTCACAGAGGACTCAGAGCTCGAGCTCTTGCGCTACATCCGTATATATGATTACCAAAAAATTCAGATAATCGTGCCAGTTATTCACCTATTCGTAACGTCAAAGAACAATCTTTTATTTGACGTTGAAGAAAAAAATATATAAAATAAAAATAAAAAAAAACAAATAATCCCTGCTGGTTCTCAACTCTGAGTATAGTCTATTGTTATTGTTATTCACGTTATGTATATATTTCAATGCGTTTAACATTCATCTTTTAAATGGAATTATTGATATTCAAGTGTATTTATTTATTGCTATGTATTGATCATATAAATTTTTCCCATAAATTCTTTTAACTCGCTGTTTTCTTTTATTACTATTCTTAACAATTTTTTTTAACAAGGATGGTTATCTGAATTTTCCCCCACAATTATAATAACTATAGTCATCATGAAGTAATTACAAATTTAATTATCACAATTGATCAACACTCTATAAAAAATAAAATAAAAATAAATAGATTGAAAAAATCTTTTCATTATTTCTCTCATTTCATTTGACTAATATAATTGTACAGAAGACGGCAGAGGAATTTTTCGATTTCTCTGTCCCTCCCTCCTATTTGTCGCGCTGGGATAAAAAATTATGGAATTACAACATCTTTTAGCGATCAAAAAACAGTGTTTTATTCTATCATCAACGGATATTCACAGCAGTACTTGACATTGCATTACATTCACATTTTAGCCTCAAAAATATTAATATAATAATTTACAATATTTAAACCATATTATTTCTCTATGGTAGACCGTATTTAATAACAATTCCCATTGAATAATCATTGTCAATGAATTGATCAACCAATCGTTCTTCTATTTGTCTTTACAAAATTAAATGATTCACAATGTATAGAAAAAGAATATGGATTACCATATCCACGAGAATGAATATATGGACATTATTTGACGTATCATATATAACTCACAAATGTCCACATTCAAATAGTACATATTTATACAAGTTTTTGTATTTTCTGCAGGACACGTAATCGGATAAATGTCATTTAAATAAGCTTTTTCCATCTTTACTGAGCTCTCTTAAGCAAATATATCTCGTAATGAATTTTCTTTTTTACCTTAATTCTACTGTAGAGTGAATAACTCGAATTGGTAATTTATTTTTATTTATTGAGGTTTAATAGATGTTTTATTATGTTTAATTGAAAAAAAAAAAAAAAAAATCGATCCAAGTTGAAAATGTAGTCTTTTCAATTATATTGTGAAATGAATAGCAAGCATTATATCAATGCAAATTTGATTCATTCTCTGATGTCACATTCTCGTGACCTAATCAACAGATAATCTGTTCGATATGCCAAATATGAATTTGCTCAATTTAATCACTTTAGTTGCATGAGAATTGAAATTTAACAAATATAAATGTGATATGCAAGTTTGAAATGGCTTGAGCTTAATCGTATTAACCTATTCCCCGGTCAACGATACTCTAATTATTACAAATATATTCGTCGAAGCATGAATTACATTCAACACCCATTGAATGCATTGAATCCATTCTATTATATAGAATAAGAATAATTATACAGCTAGTTTAATTAAACTTTTTAGTACTTTCCACCCCCATGCCCACCCCCCTCTTCTCAATAATCATTCTGTAAGCACATAAAGGACATCTAATGCTGTGAATAATAATGAGCTAGTTTTATATCTGCTAGTACAGTTGTGATCATCTCAATTCAAATATATTCGTATTCACATGTTTGCAGGTCGATTGTCGCTAAAATAAAAAAAAAAAAAAAAGAAAAGAACAAAAAATTCTCTCCTCAATAATATATGCTATAATATTATCATTACAATATAAGTCTTCAATTATTGTAAGCATTGAGCTGGGCATATGTGTTATAGCCCCATATTATTGAATTTCATAATCCTACTAATGGATCACTCTATTACTGAACCAACGAAACAGTTGTTTTTGGGAATAATATATGGAAAAATAATAGAATGACAATTATTTAATTTAATTTACATAAAAATTTTTTATAGCTTTAAATTACGACTAGAACCAATGGCTTATGAAGACGACAAATTTCATAAAGGAAAACTCAATCGCAGTATTCAGGGAAAGTTATATACAAAATATTACTGCTGGTTGTCATTCGGTTCGTTACTAAAATTGAAAACATCGATATATAATGAAATAATTTATCAGCCTGAACATGACTATAAGTATATTACTATAATTGGCTAACAGATATTTTTAAACTTTAAATAATTTAATGGAATAATAATAGTTTTGCTGTGAATTCTTTTCAATGCCTGCAATTTTACCAACTTTTTCAAATAAAATTCGGAGTTTGTTGAAGCGGTCTGTACACTAACATGGCTATTGGAAAATTTTTAATATGCGTCTGCCATTGTGCTGAGAGTTGAAAGAATTTCACTCCGTACCACTCAGTTCCATCAATTGTCACTGAAAACAATTACAATCATGTATACTTGTTGTATATACTCAAGGTAAAACTTACCTCTCAAAGGAATGTGAGTTTTTGCCGAACATATCAATCTCGTTACGCCATCGACTGTCTGACTTTTTGGCTCATTTTCTTTCTCTTTTTCTTTCTTTTTTCCCAATCTCATGACTAGGAGGAAACAATAAAGAGAAAAAACAATATATTTCATTTTACAATGAGAATGAAAATAATGGGGGAAAAAAATGGCCAACATACTTTTTTGTTTTTTCTCTTTGGTTGTGTAATTCATTGACAAATGCGGCCCAGGATTTTCACCCATAATAGGCACTCTTTGTACGTGAAGTGCACGAAAAGCTTGCCTCAATGTGCTTTTTCCTTTATCACCGGAAGTTGATTTACTCCAGTAATCCAATTGTAATTCAACGGGCTCCCAACCTTCACGTGGTTGACTGACGTTTGGACTGCTGGGAGGCGTTAATCTCCCAGGTGGTGGCATTGAGATGCACGTTGGTGGCAAAGAGGGTGGAGAACCTGACATTGCAATACCACTCTCATCAAGGTCAACGGAAGCTGAAGCACTGCTTTCAGGACAACCAACACGAACGTCGTTTACGAAGGGAATGAATATTTGACTACTATCATCTGTCTCTCTGAAATTAATTAAAATAACATATATCAATATTATTCATAATCTGAGGTGTATAATTGAATATAAATTCATTTTTTTTTTATAGTTTATTATTCAATCTTCACCTATATGTTACCATTGCTTCGGCAATTGGTAATAATAATGTTGGACCGACATTGGCTAGATACTCTGAAACTCTAGCAGCTCCTTCTGCAGCCCCCCCAACTTCACGCTCAAATAGTTCTTTCCATTCGTCACCGAACAGCATTGCGTACTTGGTGTCAACAGATGCCAGATATTTGGATAATGTATTTGACCCAAGTGGCACAATTAGAAATCTCAAATAATTCTGCCAGTCGGGTGGACGAAAACTCAAAAGATCAACATAGTGTTTCAATACAGCATTAACGAATCCATCACCGCCTGCAATAACTATTTTTATTGGAGTTGGTGGTTTTGCCGAACTGTTACAAAATTTTTGGATTCTTGTTATGAGACAAGTGAAAGTTGCACGAATATCTGCTGGTGATGCACTAGTTAATACCCTGAGATTGCGCTCTTGAAGACGAGCTGCTAGCACAGCACCACCAGTATCTACCAAAGATACAAGCGCTAGCGAATCCGGTAGACAATCATCAGGGAGAATGCGTACCAACTGCTCCACCAACGCCTTCCGTGGCTGTTAATAAATTTCAATTCTATCAATCATTCATCCATTTATCATTCAAAATAATCGTAAAATGCAAACCAACTTCTAAACTATTCAATTCTGTAGGTGGTTTCAGCTCAACACTGAGACTATGCTTTTTAGACTTGTTATTTCCTGGGGTTCCTCGGTCTCTTGCGAAAAGGCGACTTTTTCGATCATTAATTTCATATTTATTAACGCTGTGTTGGCCATCAAATTTTGGGGGCGAGCCTGTCACTGTATTTGCCACATCGTTTGCTTCAAAATCAGTCCAATTTTCCGGATGGGAATCACTGTCTGCACGTCTTGAACTGTCATCACTCTGCCTGTCTGTGCATCTTTCTGTAAGGTTTTCCATAACTCAAAATTATGTAAGGACAATGATTTTTTTTCCATTATAATATATATTATATCATAACCATGATAATCATAATCAATGTCATGTCAATTAATCGTCATTAATTCAATTCGCTGGCTCTACTCAATTACACATTACAACATCAGAATATACAAAATAGGTAGCGGAAAAATAACACAAAAATAATGCAATCACTCACAAATTTATTGTCACTGATACACCACTCAATACGACAGAAAGACAGATATCAATGAATATATAGAGTGAAAATGAGAATACGTACGTTTTTAAGGAGAGAGTTAGAGACTTCAGTTTTATACATATGTTTATTGACTTTGTTTTGCGAATAATAGTGAAAATTATTCGTCACGTATAATATAAAAGTGATATAAAAGTGATTATTGAATTATTTCTTAAATAATTACGTCTTCTAGGGGAAAAAAATAAATAAAAAGAAATAAACTTGGAAAATCAATTTCCATTTAAAGTTCAATCGTATACTTTATAAATCTATACATGACGTATTTATTATTGAATATAAATAATAAAGTGGTAAAAATTGTGTAGTAGAGTAGTAGAGATAGTAGAAGTAGTAGTCTAGTAGAAAAAATGAATAATGATCATGCAGAGAATAATCATGTCTTATTAGTTTTTTTCAAATGGTTATTCTCGTGGGGGTGAACCAAGTGATTAATTTATCAATTTTTAAAATACTCTATTATCATGTACCTGGTGTAGTGTGTTCAACACGTGGCCTCTCCTTGATAACCTGCCCAGTTGTTGGTTGTGATATTGTCGTTATTGGCGGTGAATTCGTTGTACTTTCCACGCTGGTAACTACTATCGAATTGTACCATGCAACAGTGCAAAGCCAATCCCAATTTATTTGATTATTCATTTTTTTTTTCTTCAATCAATTGAAAAACATTTTTGATGTCTATTAATCCTTTTCATCGATTTAATTAAAACAATAAAACTTTGTTATTGTGGTGCAAGACATATTCACTGATTCAGGTTCATGGTTTACTCATAAAATAATCAGTCAATGAATAATTAATAATTAATAACCCGGCTGGTTTAAATAACGTGCCTCAAATTCTACAAAATACGAGCAAAATTGCCGTGACTTCTGCAGATATTGCTGTTAGAGCAATATAACTCACCTGTATTGGGAGGCGCCAAGAGAGATCGACTCGAGCTAAAAAATGGCCGAAGAGATGGCTTTGGTGTGCTGCTTACAGACATTGTATCTAATTCTGGTCCACTTTCTGATAAATCTTCCAACTCATCGAAGAGTTCCTCAATTTCCATATCGCCACCTATGTGAAATTCATATGAAAGATATATACATACTTTATTTTTCGTTGTATAAAGGTATTTTTTTTCTCCATTACCTGACAATTTTTGGCCAATTTCCTCTTGATCGTGTTCCAATTCCTCCGATACTCGGAATCGTTTCAACAAAGCAATAAATTTTTGCTTTAAATTCCGTTGCTATTGTAATAATTAAATAACTTTAATGAGGTTTTCCAGCGATATAACAGTGATATGTATTGATTTCATTATCATTATCATCTCACCCGTGCGTTAACAGGCATTTTCGTTCGGCTCTTTCGTCGATGTACCTCTAGGGTTGGTTCAGAATCACTCCCTTCACCTTCACCCTCTGAACTGAATTCCTCCTCTTCGTCACTATATTCGGGTCCTAATCGTTCACTTGCATCACTTATAAGCCGTTTGTCCTGATCAACGGGTTGCGAACAGAGTCCAATAACATTAATTTTTGCCAATATCACTGAAGAGCCACCATATTTTTCAGCTTTGTCTGATACAAGTTCCAATTCAAGATCCATTTCCTTTTGCAAAACCTAATAATAGTTAATGGAAAAACAATATGCTATTACATTATTGTTTTTATGAGTATAGAGAAATATGATTTTATTTTACCTGTGCCATGTTAACAACTCCTTCAGCTAGAGTTTTAAATCCCAACATGGTTCGATTTTTATATCTTTTTCTTCTCTGGAGTAATATTAATAATTTATTACCATCTCTCTTGAGAAAATGGGGATATTGTAAGGCAAATTGTAATTCCAACTCTGTGTCAAGCATTCCTCCAGACGGTATAGTCATTTCATTCGAGCGCAATGTTCTTTTGGAGCTTTGCATTTTAACAGCAATGCTGATGGACGCCAGATCAACACCCAAAGGCCGGAGTATAACGAGTCTTGTTAATGTCAATGTGCATAGCCTTCATCAGACAAATAGAAAAAAAAATATATATATATATATATATATTCCTTGGTTTGGTAATTTTCAATTATCAAATAAAATTGTTATGAATAAGATAAAAGTCGATGCATCATTTGCATTTCGTTAGATATATGTAATTTCAATTTTATCATTCGCATTGCCTCGTGTCTGTGTATGCATTATTACACATCAAGCCAACTGGCTGGTGGTCGGTGACACCAAATCAATACGCCAACTCTTTGACTACCTAGATATATTGGTTTGATTATTATTAATATTATTATTATTGCTATTGTCATTCAACATTTATACCCTTTTTAAAGACCAGAGTTATACTATATAATAGTATGAGTTTTAAGATTGAATTTTACGTCAATTTACGTCTGTTTATTATCTACTTGGCTTTACTATTTGTTTCTCTTGCTTTAATAATAAATGTGAAAATCATAGCGAATCTGCCAAGTTATATCAGGATCACAATAACAATGCCAAAAGCTAAGCTTCTCTTTGACCACTCGTACTATTGCTAACATGAAAAATTTGTTGTTGCTGAAAATGCCTTGCCCCATCAAGGCAAGTTCTTTTTTCTCTTAAGAAATTTATTCAATTAATTATAATGATTTACTACATCATGACGGATAAACGTCAAAAATGTCACATTGTGGTGTCAACTTATCAAGTGGGAAACCCTATTTGCAAATATACATCGAATTATATAAATCAAGGTGATACATAAAAGATGATTTATAAAACTTGAAAAATAAAACTAAACAATTATTTAGGATCATTAATGTAAATATTTATAGTGGAGAACTACTCTCACTGATTTCCCGTGGATTTCAATTGCAATTTTCAGAAAGCACACAACGATGTGAATGAATGCACGTTCATTATCTGATAATTTTTTAAACCAATGATGCCTATTAATAATAATTTTTTATTTTTTTTTCTCATTTGTCAATTATAATTTTTTGTTTGCGTTTACTACTCCACTGTCTTTTATCATTTTCGTGACACATTAGAAATAGGCTCATTCTTTACTTTCTAGTTTTCTGATATAAATAAATAATTTATTCACCTTGGTATGCAATTAGGAGGTGTACGATCCACTTCCCAAGTAGCAAATAATTTCATAGGGACAGGCCGGTTAGCCAAAGCCGTCACTTTGGTGCGCTCCGCCATTATTCGTCCACTAGATTCAATACCAACAATAATAATTGAATATTATATGCACCACGCCCACACACTGCTGTTCTTCACGGCTAACTGATTTTAAATTGACATGTTAATAATTTCACTTCATACGTACCTATATATTTATGATATATATGTTCAATATCTGCGGTTTTGCGAGCCGTTCAACATACCTGTGTATATAATAATATATATACCAATCGGCGCCCTACCAACAGAAAGTGGAAGTTACACGACAGTTGTATATATAATATATGTCTTAGCGGGAATATTTGAAATAGAAAAATCAGCGATTATTTAACAAGGTAGAACATTTTTATTGCTCGATGTCAAGTGCTTTTTTTATTTATATATATAAATCACCGTACAATCTATTTCCGTCATATATTTGTTATGACAGTTTGAAAAGTATTTCCTTACTCAATGAGATGATAAGATAGCCACCACATAAGAAACGGTTGAAGGGATGCAACAAACAGAATGAAGTAGAGTCTTCTTTTATTACCAGTTGCAGTGTATGAGGTGTGGCCTTCGGGTATAACTCGTAGTTTAAGAGACCTTATGAGAAAAAATGCGATGGATATACTGTAGTATATGAGTCCAGTATAATATCCGAATCGCCGAAAAATAAGTGATAATAATAAAGCCGCATTGATACCGACATATTTGTAACCGCAATATGCTAAAAGATCAAAAGTCCGTAGACTTGTTTCAAGATTCATAATGTAGAGTGTTATAGTGTGAACAAGCAGCTCTATTAAACCCCAAGCCAATGCTGAACTAGCAATTATTCCAAGCTGTTCTGGCGTGAATCTTTCTTGAGTTCCAAGTGATAAACCTGCCATCACCACATATGTCAAAAATGCCATCGTTGGAATATACATATCAGGAGCATTTTTCTCGTACCGTGGTTGTAGAGGAACATCTTGCTCGTATTTCACCGACCAATCCTTTCAAATTTTCATGTACAAAGCATTGATCAGTAAAACTCTTGATCTACCATTATTATTCAATCAATTACTTACTCTTTGAGTGAAGGGGAAAATAAGTAGGGCTAATTTGACGACAACATAATCAGTATCAACAGCAAAATAGTATTTCAACGCCGTAATGGGGAAATATTTTTCAAGATGCTGCTTGCCAGTACCCACTAGTGCATCTCCATACTTCATAGCCATATTTGCTACTAGAGGTTCATTGAGAAGTTGTGTAGCAAATTGGGATCCCGTGAATGCATTATCTTGAGGTACAGCACTGCCAGGTGCGGGCATAGAAGCTTGCATTGTTGGTGACATTCCTATTGTTGATGGACTAAAACCATATGCTGAAGTAGTTTCAGATACATTAAAACCATACTCTGGTACGCCATTATTTGCACCGACCTGAAATAACATAGAAAATATACTTCAAAAAAATCATCAACACATATTTCACTGGGTTCTCCACAATTTTCTTATTCATTAATTCATTCCATACAATCTTTGTTCTTGCGTTGGTTGCTAACCTGTTGTTGATGATTATACACGTATGGATTATGTGGTATCTGAGTACACGGAGAAGATGTACCCAATGATGGATCTACAATTCTTTTTGGTTTTCCTAATCAGAAAAATTGCTCTTTGAAAATAGTTTGAAAGCGCATTATCTTTGTTTTTTTTTTATATTAAACATAGGTCACTTCAACTGTTACCATTCAAAGAACATAACCTCGAAAGAAACATTTATTACCTTTCTCTGCATTCAGTTATAATTGTCCAATTCGTATTAATAAAAAAAAAATAAGTGCAATTGGTCACAAGCATTATATGAGGATAGGATATGAAAATATATATTGCATATAATATTTGACTTACCTCTACGCGCTCCCGAGTGATTATAATTCATGATTGTTTTTTATCTTTTAGCCTTTTGGTTTCCTATAATTTTGCAATATTGGCTGATCTTATGAAAATATGATGATACCTTACTTTATGGACCACAATTTCCAAATTTATTTGTATTCTAGAGAAATTAAAAAATTCATACGTTGTAGCATAAGTAGCTCCAACACATACACCCTGCCTTTCACGTCTAGAGCGTCTGTAACACGGGCCACATGGGGGCGCGGGCGCGGACGCGGGCGGAGCGGGGGGCGG